AGACTTATGGGTGTAGCTTCTGATGTCACTAGGAGACACAGTCTCACAGAAAACTCCCTGATTCTTTGGCTCTTACAATCTTTCTACCTCCTCTTCTGCAGTGTTCGCCGAACCCTAGGAGTGGGAGTGTTTATAGATGTGTCCAATGTACTGAGCTCGGCTGCATTTTGGTTGCTTGTGATTGTAGAGGTCTAAGTCTGTTACAAAGAGAAGTTTCCTTGATAAGGATAAAGGTTACACTTATCTATGGGTATAAGGACATAGATTGTTTTTAGTGATTTTGCTGGTTTAGTAAATGAAAGGCTGTAGAACCTCCTCCAATAACCACATCTTCACTAACACTATTTGATCTTTTTTACATACTTTTTTTTCTTTTGAAGGTCAAAATCTAACTCAGCATTGTCAGTTGAGTGTAAGTGCCTTCCTCCCTAGGAAATGCCCACTGATCCACTCCAATGGAGATATTCCTTCCTTCTAATGTGCCCCCTTTACAAGGGTAAGTCTCAGAGGGGGTTTATTTTACCTGAACAATCAGTTATGCTCCTATTATAATCTCGGTCATGTGCAGTATAAAAGAACTGCTGGGGTGCTCACCTGTAGACATTTATTTAATGTGGCTGTGTACTTATAAAAGGGGATGTTTATACAGAGAGATAGACACAAAGACAAGGAAAATGTCATGGGCACATAAAGCCAGAGACCAAGTTCATTCTCCTAAAATTCAAGGAATGTCAAAGACTGTCAGCAAACTAGGACAAGCTAGGGAAATGATATAGAGAAAACCCCTTCCAAGCCTCAGAAAGAACTAGCCCTGCCATCCCTCAGTTTTGGACTTCTAGCTTCCAGACTGAAACAACACATTTCTGTTGAAATCTCCCAACTTGTGGTATTTAGCTAAAGAAGGACTATTAAGGGACTTGGAAGATATCTCAGTGGTTAAACGTTTCAACTACTTCAATGTGCCCACATTGGATAGTTCATGACTATCTGAGATCCTCTTTCGACTTCCACATGTGCACACAGTATATATTCACACAGATGACAGATATAGATGCACATACATAAATAAAAGTATCAAACACAAATCTTTTAGAATTATTTCTTTTATTTTTAAGTTTATAATGCAATTATATCATTTCCTCCTTTCCCTCCCTCCAAACCCTTCCATGCTCCCCTTGCTCTTTTTAAACTTCATGGTCTCATTTTCATCAATAGTTGACAGATACACACACATTCATAAATACAACTTTCTCAGTCTCTATAATAACACTTGTTTGTATTCACAGCTGACAATTTGGTATTGGGTAGCCAATAGGTTAGCTCTTTCCTGGGTAATACTATCCCTCCTTGCAGTATGCCTTACTTGTCTACAGTTCTTTGTATAGGGTTGAAGACTCATGGACTTTCCTCCAGTCACATAAGCATGTCTACTGTTGTTGTCCTTGTTAGCTCATGTTTAGGCAGTCATATCGGTAAAACGTTCAGGGTGTAGCTCTGATATTCTTAAGAGACACAATCTCACAGCAAACTCACTGATCCTAGAACTTTTATACTCCTTCTGCTCACTCTTTCCCAGTGATCCTTGGGCCTTAAGTGTGTCAGTTGTGCTGTATATGTATTCACTGTGATTGAGCTTCACAACATTATTATCGGTTGTAGATTTCTTTAATGGTCACTGTCTGTTCCAAAGATAAACTTCTTTGACGAAGGGCAAGAACTAGTTACACTTTTCTCTGGGTATTAGGATATGCATTTAGAATGTAGTTGGAAATTATGTTGATTTAGTTAAGTGGTAGTTACAGGTTCTCTTATAAGATCCATGACTTTATTAGCAATGGGTAGTTGGCTAAGTATCCAGTAGCAGGAATTTTGAGTTTTAATTGTCTAATCAAAAGATACAGGGTAACTAAATGGAACAATAAAATAATCTATCTGTTTTCTATGAGAAATACATATTAGTTTTAAGGAGATTCATGGCCTTAGAATAAAATACTATGCCCCCTTTCCCTACTGACTTGTTTCCTGTCACAAGCATGGACAAAAGTACTCCAATCAAAGGGAACCAGGAAACATGCAGGCATTGCTATTCTAATATTTGACAAAATAGACTTCAAACTAAAACTAATCAGGGAATATAAGGAGGCCTACTCCATCCTATTCAAGAGAATACCTAACCATGAAGATGTAGCTGCCTAAAGGTATATGTACCAAATTCTGGTGCATCTAATTTTATAAAAATGTCCTACTGGATTTAACATGTAGATTAATCTCAACCCAATAATAGTGTTTTCAGTACTTTACTTTCTCCAATAGACAGGTCATAGGGACAAAAATGAATAAAAATAAATATTTAAAAAAGAAGGTATCTTCTAGACATGGCAGAGAAGCTGCACCAAAAAGATATCAACATTTGGAATGGTTGTTCAAATAAGAATTGAATAACGAAAACCCCCATCAACATGGATGGGTGAGTTTACAAGGTTCACCGCTCAATGAAGAGCTGAGAGAGGGAGAATAAGTTTTTTCAAGAAAAAAGTCTCCTGATAGCTTATCCAATCCCAAATGGTGAGCCCTAAGCCCATGAGGTAGAAGCAACACTAAATTTCATCAGTAGGTTGTGTGTGTGTGTGTGTGTGTTTGTATGTATGCTTACTTAACAATAGAGGTTGTGAATTTGAAAGGTATGGGGGCATGAGAAGAGTAGAGGGGAATGAGAGGTGTAGAAAGGATGTAAATATAGCATCCATGTACAAAATTCTCAAAAAATAGAAAATTAAAAAGGACCCCTTTCAACCTAATGCAATTATTTATACATGAGTTTTTCTAGTTCCCTTCACATTTTGACCCTCCTGAACTTGAGTCGGTACTGTAGGAGACAAGCAAGACCCCCATTTTCCTTTTCTTCTCCCCCTTCCTTCTTTTCTTCTGCCAATGAAGGCCAGGCACAGGTTAGAACAGTCATCAATCTTCATTCTGTGTGTCCACAGGGAGGATAGAGATGGCTTTTGGAAGAACAAATTGGACTTGTCCAAGGATAAGTAGTAAAGAGCCTCAGCTCAGAAGGTGGTCAAGTACGGGGAATTTCTCCTTAGAATTAGCTCTGTGAAAGAGCAGAAAGCGAGCTTTGGTTATAATCTTCTGGGGACTGGCTAGATAGCCAGTACTTTGGAATTCTGATGAGGCAGAATCTCGGTGTGAATCTCCCTTGAGTAAGAACAGAAAACAGTGTGGGATATCAGTGTGTGCCAATTACTCTTCACAAGATAAATCTCCCATGCCCCTTTTCAGAGCTCAATCTGCCGGTGAAATTGTCTGGACTCCATTCCTGGAAGCACCATCTGCTGGTGATTGTCCGACCATCTGACCAGTTATCCTTTGTCAACTGCCCTCCTCTGGGCAACCCCACTACCAGTTGGAGTCTACCCATTGTCCAATTTGGAAAAACTGAGTCTGAAGAGCGACAATAGAGAAGAGAAGGAGGAGGGAAACACTGTCATGTACAGGTATCCGAGGCCAAGATATGTTGTGGGAAAGCCTTGAGTCTTTGCTCAAACCTGGGGAGGGAGCAAGCACGAGGCCAAGCCAGAGCCATATTGTGTCCCAGGCAGCCTGATGGTTCCACAAATAATATTGATGCCTTTTGTTTGGAAACTTTTGAGGCGGCTTCCCACTTTCCAACAAGCCGTGGCAAATGCTGGGTCTCCCCCAAACCACTTTGCCTTTTGCACGGTCCCTGGCCAACTGTGCAGGCAGATGAGGCCCCTCAATGTTAATGAGGAGGAAGGGCTGGCATTCCTGAGGCACCCAGCTCTGGGAAGCCAGCCTTTGTTGCTAAGGAGCATTGGAGCTGTGGCTGAAAGGCTCATGAAGACAGGGAGTGAGGAGAGGGAGACAAGAAAGGCGCTTGTTTCCAAAGCTTCACAGTTCTCCAGACAGAACCAAAGCTGTGCATTTTCGGATCCTAGTTAGAACATCACCTTCTCCTTACTGTTGCTCTTAATGATCTTTGGAAATTCCTCAGAAGAGTTAGAGAGCACTTAGCAAACTCTGGAATGTGCTGTTGCTTCTGTTACTCATTTGCTTCTATGAACACACCACCCCCAGGTGGCTGGAGGATGCTCTTTGTTTCTGGTTCAGAGGGGTGATGGAGCTTGGAGAAAGCACCTCGGGTTTGCTAACAATCACATCCGAGCTTCACTCAGTATGCTGCTTGCCAGTGGTTTACTTGGTGAAAGATCTGGGCTTGGGTCCGTTAACAAAGATGAAGAGGCTCTGCTCCAGCTTGTATTTGCTGCCATTCTTGCTGGAGACTAGAGTCATTCATACTGAAGTGTTCTGTAGGCTGTTTGCTGTCAATATGGTTTGCATGGCATTGTTGTACATGGGGTTCACACAGCAGTTTTCCAGTCCTAGCTCAGTCACTCTCACTAGGGTTGTTAGAACCTATATGAATACAGTATTATCTTGAGCTTAAGTTTCTCAACTGTAGGGTGGGCATAGTAGTGCCAACATGTTTTTGATACTAAGAAGAGCAATTATAGGCAGAAGAATAATATAAAATACAGTTTCTGCTGACTAGGAAGGACCTCTGTGAATGAGCCAACTGCTGGTTTCAACATCTGGAAAAGACTAATGATTAGGCCTGTTGCTTGAAGGTAAACAGAGATGCTGTATAAAAATAAAGTGCATTTTACTCCTCTGTGGTGCTTCTCTGAGGTGTGGAAGATATAGTGCTTAGCTATTGATGTAGTATCTCATTTAATATGAATGAAGTGGTGTTGTTCTGATAGTGAATTGCTTAAGGCTGTAAGGTATGAGAGAGACTTCCCTGGGTGAGATAATGCCTTTGTCTTTACTTTTAACATCTGTAAAACTTGCAGTTCTTGGAAAGTTAGGACACACCCACAGACACACACATAGGACTGTCTCTAAGATTACTGCATACTGTCACTTATAGGTAGGCTCTACTGCAGGGTACTTATCAATCAGCAGACACCAGGTTCTACTTCTCCATGTTTATTAAAATCCCACAATGACACACAGGGAGTATGCAACATGCAAATATCTGAGAATAATAGAAAACAACAGAGGTCACAATGACATTCTTAATGACATCATAGCCTATTGATACTTCTGTTCATTTGTTGTGTTCATAGCAGACTTCATATAACCTCTACCGTCACATTGTTACCATGATAAATATGCTTCTCTCTGAAGTTAAATTTTGTTTCTTTAATTTTTACTTAGACAAAAGTAATGGATATATACACATAACACATACAGACTCAGAGAGACACACATAGACAAACAGACAGACAAACACACACACAACATTCCCTTCTTGCCAGAACTCTAACCATCCTATGGGCATGTGGCCTGACTTCAATTGGAATCATATCAGATAGTTTTAGTCAGAACCCCCATCAGCATCTCTGATGCCTCTTTTCCATGTATTCATCCCCTGCCTTTTTATCATTGTCTGTAAGTTCCTATTTCCTCTTAGCATATTGGAGTTGAGGTCAATATCTCTTATCTATGCCACTGTGATAGTTCAAAATAAAGCCTGTCTTATTGTTCTTTTAAGTAACATACACTCTATTAATTCTTAGAGAATTTCATACAACATATAATGATCATATTTACCCATTTTCCTCCCTGTAGCACTTTACAGATCCACTCCCCCTCCCCCCACACTACTTCAGGTCTCTTCATGTCTCCATTTGTTTTAAAACAACACACGTGTGTGTGGCCTCTCTCTCTCTCTCTCTCTCTCTCTCTCTCTCTCTCTCACACACACACACACACACTCACACACACAGAACTTGGAAGTAAAGCAGGGAAGAACTCTAGGGAGGTAATGATTCAAAAGCAATTGTTATTTGGAACTAGAAGAACAAAATAAATATCAAAAGTTGTTTTGGCATGGTAATGGCATGACTCCCCTCTGTTACTCCACACAGACCATTTGTTCAGTTTTTGTTTTTTGAGAGTTTATGTTTCCTGCATGCAAGGAGTTGTAAAAATGGCATTGCTTCTAGTGTTTATCACACTCTTACAAGGAAGTCTAAATTATTTTCTTCTTGTAGATGAAGAAACTTAAGTGTAGGGAGATTAAGACACTGCTAAAGCAACTGTATATTGAATGGCTTTTAGCTGTTCTTAGAGCCTGTTCCTCTTCTATTCTTGGTGTAATCTGAATAGCGAGGGTAGAAACTGTGGGTTATGATTTGTTCATGCTTTCCCTCCATGAAGATCTACTCTTTCAGCCAATACTATGGATGTTCTGATTGTAATCTACCTGCAGTCGCGTGGTTCTGGGAACACCTATTAAAATGCAGTCTATATAAAATGATCCCCATCAATTTACATCAGTTGGTTACTAAGGCCATAGTCAAGCACTCTTTTGGATGGGGATAGATAATACTGGGCAAGGCAAAACTCTTGCTTTTGAGGATTATGATTTAGTTTATTAATCCAATCTCAAATCAGTTTTAGAGCTCCCTCTATCCCTGCTGCCTCTCCTGCCCACCTGACCAGAGATAAAGGGTCTACCAGGGTCCAGAACTCCTGGTACACTGTCTGGAACTTTCTTACTTTTTACTTTTCTAAGCCTGGTTGCTTATCTGTCAATGGACCTGTGAGACATCTTACTGAGATATCAAAATTGGGGAAACGAAGTGTCAACTTCTGGTGCTTAGTAGGTGTACTGAACCATGAGACCTAAAACCCTCATTTTCTTTACTTAGCAAGTTGACAGAGCGAGAAAGCTATTTCTGTCTTTACTCTATTGACTTATAAGACATATCTAGGAGTTCCAGAAGTTAAGTTGGTAAAAATTAAAGAATTTATCTTAATGGATTTAGAGGTTTTTTGTTCTTGGAAGTTTGTTTGTGAGATGTCAAGAGAAACCTCACTAGAAAATGAAAAATATGGCATTGTCAGAGGTCATTTTGTTTGATTGTTCTCTGATATGGTCCAACTTATTCATCTTATTCCCTATAATATTCAAGGCTAGCATCCAGATCAGTAGATTAGTGATCGAATTAGTGGTGGCTCTGGAGGCATCTTATCTCTAAAGTCTTCATTCAGTGAACCTATGGCTATCTCTGTTGTACTTAGGAAGAGAATATCCAGAGAATATGTTCAATATACAACTCCATGGTTGGTAGAGACTTTACCAGGTTTTCCTGCCCTGAGAGAGCATAGCATGCTCCTGGAGCCCAGTCCCAGTTATCCTTCCTTGAAACTTCTCTTGGGGACTCTGGGAAATATCCCTGGAGACACTACCCACATTGCCCTGAAGAAGATGCTGCACTTACATAGAAAATACTAACTTGAAATTATCATCCTGCTTCCTGTTCATTGTCAATACATTTACTTTTCTTATAGTGAAAATCCTTCCTAGAATAGTGACTGGCATATGAACCTATTTACCTAATGGGAAATTGTGTATTGGAGCTCTCAGGAATCTGAGGCAGTAAGATTACAAGTTTAAGGTCAATCTGGACTATGTATTTAGACTCTGTCTTGAAACCAAACCCAACAAAAATACCTAGTGAGGTGTACTATGCATCAGACATTCTGTATACTTTTTGACACATTGACTCATGTTGTTTACAAAAACAGCTTGTCAGCAATGTAGAAAAAAAGGTCAAACACATGGATAATGAACACTATAAGAAGAGAAGGGAGCTTTGAGTGATTGGACTCTTGTTATAAGGGAAGAGAAAACTGATCATTATGAACAGCTCCTTGTCATAGCCAAGTCCAAGCCAAAAGTGACTATAACAGCTACATCTGTCTCAGCTCAAACAAAGCCTCTGTCCCCAGTGCTCAGACTGGGAAGAAGCACAAGGGGAGATGAAAGAAACATCTGCTCCTTTGTTCTCACAGCTCCTTTAAGTAACCCAGTGCTGGCTCCAAGATTATGTTTTCTCCAGAACGGAATCTCCTCAAGGCCTGGTCAATTCTCTGAGGACTCAGCGACAAGTTGTATATGAGATTGTAGTTATGGATGAGGCGTCTGGCTCTCTCCTTCTCCAGAACTCCTGTGATGACATTGGTAGATCAGGTTTTTTTTTTGAATGGAGAATCAAGCAAAGATACATGTTAGCTTGAATGAGTTGCAGGTAGATGCTGAACACTAATGTTTTAAGAGTTTAAAATTCTTAAAATTGACTTAAGATATTTAGAGTCTTGGATATGGATTATAGTTCTTAGGAGGTGACTTTGGGGTAGAATAAAGCATATGGGTCCACTAAGACCACAATATGTTCTAAAGAATTTAAGCTTGTTCTTTATATCCAGACATTTCAGTACCAATTTTCAAAGAAGTGGGGGTATGTGTTCAAGTGTTCCCAAATATTCTTTTTCTTATCAAAGTACCTGTGGATGTTCTAAAATATGTAGGTGTAAAGCTGATCCTTCCTGACACACATTTCCTGTGACTTTCTCCATCTAACGTGTGCGATAGAAGTGCGGATGCACAGTAAGCATCCTGTCACCCATATGTCACATGCCTCAATGATGACAATGTCAGCATGTTTTCTTCCTCCATGAAGGCCTGGTGGTGATAGTTGCAGAGAGGACTGCAAGCGTGGATCACATTATCACTAATGATCACTAACTGGTTCATAAGTCTGAATTGGAAGCTTAGATGTATTAGATGCTGCACTTAGAATGCAGAGAAAAAAATTTCTGTTGCCTATGGGAGTTTTCTAAACCATGAGGAAGACAAGTTATGGAAAGGATTAACCAAAGTAGAACAATAAATACAATAATGAATATTCTCCTGCAAAATAATCCATGTCTCAAGTTCCATTCCAAGCATTTTACAATATTAATTTGTTTGGTCCTTACATGACCCATATCATAAAGGGAGAAACTGAGTCCTAGAGTTGTTCAATCAGTTGTTTAAGGGTGTTCAGAGTTAACTGCTATATGGCATGAAATGAGGGTAAGAGATTAAATGTGGATCATATTATCTGCTAATTGTATTCTTTGAACTCTGAAATCTATGCCATAAAGTGCCACTCCAAGAAAGCTTTCCAGTGTCTTTAAGGATTAAAGATGCATCCCCTGTGTCTTAACTTTCAACTTGATACAACGTAGGATCACCGTGGAAGAGTCTTAGTTAGGAATTCTCTAGACCAAGTTAGCTCATGGACATATCTTCAGGATTTTCTGGATGGTTAGTTGATGTAGGAAGATCCACCTCATTGTGGGAGGCACCATCCTTAGGCAAGTGATTCTGAGCAATCTTAATGATGGGAAACATTAACTGATAGAGTCTGGGCTACTATATATATATATATATATATATATATATATATATATCCTGATAAAAATGACAAAAAGCTATAGTAAGACATCAAGAAGACCTAGGCTTGAATTATGGATTAGATTCCTACTGGCCACTGTGAGCTTGAGTTCTTCCTCTCAAAGAAGGGCACTACCCCTTCAGATTCTGGCTAATATGAAAATTTAGAGATGAAAAGTATTAAATAGTCAGACCCATGGAAAGAATGCCCTTTAAGGCATTTTGCCCCTTTGACTTTATATTTTCTATTTAGACTTTGGTTCACTGGGTGAATTCTTAGTGTACCATTTGCTCCTTCTTTAGAATACTTGTCATTCCTTGTTCCTTCTCTTCAAGGCTATTTTCTTCATAACCCCCATTAGAGAATAAGCTCAGTATGTTCCCAGAAACACTGATTCAATGATGGATGGTCTGCCTAGAGCCTGGATAGGGAATTCATTGGCCTACTTAGCTCCTTGCACATAATAAAGAACAGTGAGTCATCTTTGGGCAGAGCAGGTGTTGTCAGCTCCACATCTAGAAAAGGCCTTCATGGTCTGTGAAAATGCTGTGGCTAATGAACCAACAGCGTGACCTTAGTTAATCTTCTTTCCCATTAAAAAGTTGTAGATGTTCCCAGATCTGGCTGATACATTCTTTGGCTGTTGAGCAACTAGCAAACTTCATAGAAACAGAGAAAACAGGCATAAACAGTGAAGGGGGCATGAAAAAGGCATTGCGAAGCCACCCGAGTCTGTCCCCAAAGTCAACAAAACTACATTTTTCCTTAGACCATTTCATTCCTATGAGAGAGGTCCAAATCTTTGGGGAGTTTTTTAGCAACTAAGTTTAGGATCCAGCATCCATTATCATGACTTGATGTTTTATGTAGTAATGCCTTTTCTTTCCACCCAGTGTATAGTTAGGCTCAGAGTTATTTCAATAACCTTTTAATCTCTCTTCTGCCCCAGAGAAATCTCCCATAAATGATACATCTCAGCTTTCCTGATGACCTTCTCTGGTTGAACTTTTGATGGATTCTGGTAAAGGAGGAAGCATTCTCTTAGCTCCCATGATTGACAGTAGAATCTCAATTTCACCATTCATCTAATGACCAAATGTTAACTTCCAGGCCTGTCTTGCTCATACTTTTCTCTATCTTGAGTCAGTGCAACTCCTAACACTTGCAGAAGATGGTTTAAACTTAGAGTAACTTGTTAACATCACCTTACATCATGTTTCATGTCCAGCTCTGCCTTCCCAGTACTGTCTCTAGTACTTCAGGTCTATGCTAAGTTTCCTTTCATATCTTGTCTCTTTCCTCTTCATATTAGCAATTTCAATGGATAAATATTTATGGAAGATAATGTGATGCTCTGCTAAAAATAAACTTTGTATAATTTAATCAGAGTTGGTGTATTTAACTCAAATATTTATAACTTTTCATTAGGAAATTATCCAGAACTCCTTTTCTGATTATTTGAAAAACATAATATATTAGAACTCCTTTTTCATATTTATTTATTTATGAAGTATTTTTAATTTAATTTAATTTATTTATTAGTTTCACATACCAACCACAATTCCCCCTGCAGCCCCTCCCCACAACCCACCTATGCAATAGGAACTGATGTTTTTCCTTTGGACAACTTAATTCCCAATTCTTCCTTAAATTATAAAATGTGTATTATCACTTTACTTTTCCTCTTGAATGCTGTTAAATACTACAAGTCTCTGCCTCTTACCTAAAAGTCTGTCCTTGAGGCCAGAAGCCATGCCTCATTCTTTCTGGTTTTCTTCCTGGTCTAGCCTCTAACACAGTGTTGGGGCCATTAACACAGCTTTAGTGAGTACTTTACTATTTAGCTGGCTTAATCTTGTATGTAAAGTTTTTAGTTCCTTCTGAACTCCCTTTTCTTCTTTCTTTTCACATAATTATTAAAGATCTTGGCATATTATGCTATTGTATTTCACGAGGTCTAAATTTGTATTAGGAATTCAAAACAGAAAAAAAAGAACACAAAGAGAATGAAGACATCACCATTTTCATATGAGTGCTTCTATGGGGCACGCTTGCACTCAACCTTCAGTGATCATTTTAACATTAATAAAGCCTTTCCTGGTCCCACAAAAGAATTCTTCTTTCTCTGAATGGCCACATGGCGCAATCTAAGAGCACATGTCACCTTGCGTGTTGAATTCAGGTATTTATACACATGAAATCATTTATTGTCTCCAAATTAAAAAATCTGTTTAAAATTATGTCAGTTTTAGGCGTTAGAAAAAAATGCAGTATACTAGTGAGAAGGCAATGAACCTTCAAGTAAAAAAATACACGACTTCTAATATGATGGCAGATAGTAAAGCTGGCAAAACCAGATGAAGTCTGACCTAGATCCATCTTAAGTCCTAGAGAACAGTGATTACATTCCAGTATCGATAATATTGTGGAGGAGGAGACCATGCAGACAGAAGACTCAGACAAATGGGACAGTAAGGCATATCAGAGGAAAGGCAAGTGACCCATTGTGACTATGTGAGGAATGCTAAAAATAGAAAATGGTAGGAAAGACAGCTCAGGTCGGCAGACACTAGATTTTTGACTTGCTAAGTAGTTTTTAGTTTGTCTTGGAAGCAGAAGAGAGTTAGGGGAATTACACAAATGAAGCATTTGTCAGACTGGTGGAAGAGTGGAGGTAGGGATAAGAAACACAGTGCCATTTTCAGTCACCACCTGGGGAATTCTTCTTCGATTTATCTTTGTGTTTTCTATTTGTGCCAGGCACCTGTTTTCTAGGTGAAAAGAACAATTTGATTATAAAATGAGAACAAGGTGGGCATTCATGTGTTGGCTAGAACACAAATACAGAGAGGCTAGTGGCCTTTGGAATTCATACTTTACCTGTGTTGCTCAGGTCACACAAGTAGAGGGCGCTCTCCAGCTTCCTGAACCTGTCTATCCACAGGTCAGATTGTTCAGTCTCCTTCCCCATGGCTGGACTCAAAACAGGCTGTGAGTGTGGCCTGTTCTTAAAGGACTTCACAGAAACTTGTCGGGCTGAAGTCATAGCGGTAGGCTTTTCTGACCACAGATTCTCTTCTGGAGCTTTCTACCAAAACAACATAAGCATTTTACTGGCACACATTCACCACTCAGAACTTCTCCAGACTCTTGGCCGAAGATGAGGCCACACAAGCAGAAAGATTTATTGCAAGGTCTGTCTTTGGAAAACAAGGAAGAGTCTCACACATTGGGCAGCACAAAGCTCTACCTGCCAAACTTTTGCTGAGTGCAAACATGACAAGTTTTTCTTTCTTTGGGAAAGACAACATCATCACTTTTGTCCAGTTTTCTTCTTTGAAATAGGCAAGTACTTGGGACCTGGCTGACAGATCTGACGTCCTTCTCTAAGGATATTAGAGGAATCTCCATGGAATGTGCTTCTGGGAAAAGCTACTGTCTCTTCAGTGGTTTGTGGCGAATGAGTGACTGGCACAATAATAATGTCACATTTGGCCTGTGGGCTAAGGTTATAGAATGCCCTTCTTTCTGACTTTAACAAAGGAAATGGAAGCCAAGAAATAAGCAAAGACTTACAATAGGGCAGCCTCACACAAGACCCAAAACTATCAGCAGAGCATAGAGGTGATGCTTAGCTCACTTCAATATCCTACTCTCATGCCCACTACCGAACAAAAAAGTGTTTTTATGATGAAATAGACAAGTGAGACACCATGGTGCCAAGTAAGGCATCCTGACAGCCTCCTTGTGTAGAAGGGGTGAATGTCTGTTGCCTGATTAGCCTCCTGCCTGTCTAGTACACATGGATGTAGGAAGAAGCATCATGTTCTTTTTGAGTGGGTTGAGGCTGACCATCCAATACAAAATATATAGTACACCTATTTGTCCAGCAGAGAGGGAGAAGGAGCATGAAGTTCATAGTAAAGAGAAGAAAGCTTGTCCATGTTTGACTCCTTGGTTTAATTCACATTACACTCCTATCCATAGTTAACACAGTAAAATTTCCTATCCTCCAGTTAATTAAGCTAGTAGAGTTGGTTCTGTTCATTGTGATCTAAAATGTTCATAACTAACCATAAAACAATACTTCTGATTTGTACCCTTAACCTTTAACTATCTGATGTTTTGCAGTCTTTTCCCTAATGTAGAACTTGTCATGTGTAAGTAGTGAAAACTCCAGACTCCTGCAGAGGAGCGACTGTAACCAGCTTGCCTCTGAGTTGGCAAACTGACACGGATGAGGTTGCTCCCGGGGAATGTGAAGAATTTTTTTGTTTGAAGTACTATATCACTGTGTGAAATTGCACTGACACAGTTGACAGGCAACTGGTAAATTTTCAGAATGAATATAAAATAATTCTCTTTTGATAAAATTAATTTTGGGACAAAGAAAATTTTCATGTAGAATATCAAAATAACAATTCTTATGCTTTTTTTCTTTAGAGGTTTGGGCAATTTAGAAATGGTGGAAGCTTAGAAATTCATAGATGTTTTTACCAAAAGTGTTCACTTTAATTTATTTATTTTTAATTTCTTTGGATACTTCCTCATTCTCTGATAAAGACAAGGGCAAGCGGAGACTTGTGTGAACTCAAATTAGGCTCAGTAAGGAGCAAATAACTAACATACCCTAGATCACTTTTCTGTTCCAAATTCCTTGCTTGGCCCAAGGGACATTAATGTTCTTTTTGCTGAATTCTCCACTTATCCATTTTAGTCTTACATGGGCATTGTTTTCTCAAAGCACATAAAGCCTGAACAACTGGAGGCGCCTTTTGTCTTTATCTCTTTATAATTTCATTTCACTAGTTACAGAAGCCCTTTTTGATTTGTGTCCGAAATGATAGAATTCCGATACAACTTTCCAGACACATCTCATATCCCACTTGTTGAACCGTCTTCACTTACAGCCCAGGATAGGCAAGAGTTTTTTCTTTATCGCCCCTTTTCTTGTCCAGGCACTCACCACTGAATACTATATTTGTGTAAGTATCTTTTGCCATAGGGATAGCTATTGCTATATCCTCAATATCATGAATGAATGAATGGATGGACATATGGATGAATTATTTTTCTGGTATAATAACAAAGTTGCTTTATCAACCCCCTGCTTCATCTACTTTTTAAAAAGTGGGGCAATAAAGACTACTTAAACAAGGATGCTAGAAGAGTCAATTATTACAGAAATGCAAAAAAGAACCCTTCAACAGGAGGCAAAATAAAAGAGCAAAATGTATTTTTTATAATCGTATTCACAACAGACTTAACACTCAAGGAGAAAAGCATTTGTGGTTGTTTTTGCATGGCAAGATGCTTGCCAAAATGGATACTGTTTTCTAAAATATTTCCATGTGTGAAGTGCATAAAGGGGCCTCATGTCATTTTAACATGAATTGTGTTCTAATCTGGACCTTTCAAAACAACAACAATAGAAACACTCATGCTGCTTTTCAATTTCTCAAAATCTCCTGGCTAAATGCTGAGAATATTAAGATGTATTTTTAACCATTTGCAAGATACTCTTTTTCTTCTTCCTTGTTTTTCTTTTTAAATCAGAGAACTTGTTGGGTTTTACAAAGCCATTCCTTGGGGGGAAAGTCGACCTCAGGTTCTGGAAACTGGTATTAAGATATTAAAATGGTCTCTTGACTGCCCTTTACTCTGAAGACAGTTGGTGGTCACAAGCTTTGCAAGCTCACCTGTACACAGGCTACCAGAAAAATTGCTTGGGGCACATGGCAAGCCTGCCACTGAGCAAGGACCGGAGGCTTCCACATACTAACGAGGTTGGGAGTTCAACCATATTCTAGGAGTTAATCTGCCTCCCTTTTCTATGTGAAGCAGGTGCTAAAGGCAGTCTGACTCCCAGGTGTAGGGCAGAAATAAAGGACCCATAGAGGAGGGTAGGCTTCCAGCTCAGCAAGAGGTGGGAGGATGGGGTCAGGGTCCTCAAGGCCCTCCCAGGAGCTCTACGTGTCCAGGTGCATACCACATGTTCAGTTTTGCTTTGGGGTCTCTCAGGGATTTCAACCAAGTCCCCTGGGGTTTCCTTTTCATTGTTTCCTAAACAAGAAAGAGAGAGAGAAGGGTTGAATTTGGGATATACAATTAATACATACATACATGAGTCAAGGGCAACACTGTGGCTTTGCTGGGTGGCTTGCATTGACTTAGGTAATGGCGACACTTGGTGGATTTCAAAATGGGGGAGGGAGTCTTAAATAGTTTCTCAAACAAATTATTTAAACACAATTATCATATATACCACAGAAAGGAAATACACAGAAAAAGAAAAAAAATCAAATTTATTTAGAAGAAGTAGAAACAGCAGGGAGTGAATATTCCTGGAGGAAGAGAAGCAAACTGATGGTTGTAGAGATGAGCAGGAGTTATTTGGACAAAGCATTGGCAGTGGCGTCCTTGAAGCAGAGGAGTGGAACCCAGAGAGGCCTATGCAGCTTAGTGAGGCAGACAGCCTCTTCCTGTAAGTCTGTCTCTTAGAACACCGCCCACCCTTTCCCATCAGATGTGTTAGCACCGCCCATTGCCAGTCTGTAGGCTGCTGCCTTCATGGATAAAGCCAACTCACTTTAGACGCAGAATAACCAACTTTCTGCTCAGTCTACCCCAGCCCATGGTGGATCTTATGGACCCTCAATCCCCATGACTATCATGTACTGAAATTTAAATAGGTCACTAACAAGCATACATTAGTTCTCAGTTGGGTCCCACTATTTTTAATAAAAATGAGCCAAGATAAACAAATTTGGAAAGAAGCAATATAACACAGTGGGCAGAAATATCAGTTCTACGGCTAGCAGACTTGGATTTTAATCCTGCCTACTCTCTTTATCAGATCCGTGACTAGAGCAAACTACTCTACTTCTCTGTGCCTCTGTGGCAGAGGGAGAACACCTTGGGTGACTGGGTAACTGTCAGGATTAAATGGAATTCCCTAGAACATACCAAGTGTTCAATAATCGTCTTTAAAAACTGAAGAGTGTTTCCTAAATTTCCACACCAGGCTTAAATTCCTTTTTGTAACATTCTATTAGCATTGCCTCTTGGGATCATTATGAATTATCTTATTGAATTACTTTCTGTACGCTTGTGTTACATACATATAGTACACATGGGTTTACAAGTTTGTGTGTCTACATATGTGTGGATGCACTATGAACATGTGTCAATGTGAGTGTGGTGGCCAGAGGTGTCTTCCTGAGTCACTCTTCATCTTATACTTTTGAGACAGGGTATCTCACAGAATCTAGACCTCACCCATTAGCTAGACTTACTGGCCAGCAAGCTCCAAAGTGCATCTTGTCTCTGCACTCCCAGCCCTGAGCATATAGTCATGCTGTGCTCTGCTGGGCTTGACTTTTTTCTTCTTTACAAAGGTGTTGGGAACCAAACTTAGGTGCTAAGGTTTACACAGCGAGCACTTTATCAACTGAACCATCTCCCCAGCTCTTCTTCAATTTGTTGATGGTAAAAACAGTGTGCCTCAGCAACCAGCATGAGAACAGTCCTCAGTGCATGCTCGTAGATGAGTAGCTGTGCACTTTTACGTGAAGTTTGGAAAATAAAGCCACTGCATGTGTAGTTCCTTTCTCCGATGCCTTTTCAAATCCTCTGAAAACAGTGATGTTGTAATTTTCAATAGTGACATGTGACAGAAAGACACTGTGTAACAGAGCTTGGGTGGAGGGATTTTATACTGAGGGAAAGTGAATAGGGAAAAGGGGAGAGGGGAGGGGAGGGGAGACTGGCTTCTGGAGACATAAGTGGCAGGAGAGAAGAAAGAGACAGACAGACAGACAGACAGAGAGAGAGAGAGAGAGAGAGAGAGAGAGAGAGAGAGAGAGAGAGAGAGAGAGAGAGAGAGAGGAGGTGGACAGGCCCCCTTTAAAAGGGCAGGTAGTGAATGTGCATAGGTGCTGTTCTTAGTGACTACAACTCAGGGCAAATCCTGTCAGAACCCCAAGGACAGGGCCTTAATACTAACAGATGTGTCTTTGTATTTCTTTATTTCTCATAACCTATCCAGATGCCATAGAATAAAGTTCACCCAATGCTGTGGTAGTTTGAATGTAATTGCCCTCCCCAGCAGCAAGTTCGTAGGGAATGGCACTATTAGGAGAAGTGGCTTTAGCAGAGGAGGTATGACCTTGGTGGAAGAAGTATGTCATTGTGGGAGTGGGCTTTGAGGTCTCCTATATACTCAGGCCATGCTCACAATCCCAGTTCCTATTGCCTGCAGATCAAGATGTAGAATTCAAGACAAGAAAAAAAAAGACAGGAAAGACAGAATTCTCAGCTGCTTTTCCAGCCCCATGTCTGCCTGCATGCTGGCATGTCCCACCATGATGACAATGGACTGAGCCTCTGATCTGTAAGCCACCCAATTAAATGTTTTCTTCATAACAGCTGCTCAGTGAAGATTATGAGGGTAGTCCCTTTGAGGCAAATCTGAATTAAACTGTTGAGAATTTAAGTGACCATGGAAACCCATGAACACCTACTCGCACTGAGATCTGCTGACTGCACCACATTTGTGAAAGGAAAGAAATTTGCTCTTTACTGCAAGAGGAAATGCCCAGCTTACCCTGAAGCAGAGATGGACAGCTAAAGGGACTCTCACAGCTGTGAATGGCATACAGGCAGAGACGGTGACTCACAGCCTGACAGTTCCAAACACTAACCCTGTGTTTTTCTTCCACCAACTGTGAAATTTTGGACCATTTCTTTCACTTGTGAAATTCCAGGAACTCGTGGTAATAATTAATTAAAATCATGTATGCAAAATACTCAACAAGGGAAGATGTTTAACTTTAGGTAAACCTCTTCACCTCACAGAAAAGGGTGTACCATACAGCATGCCAAGCGTTTTCCTGGGTGCCAGTTAATGCACGGCACTTCTTAGAGTAAGACCTATTACCCAGACTTGTCTCTGTCTAGCTCTTCCTTGCTGTCTGAGACCTTCAGGATTTTCTTAGGAGAATATATGAAAAGTCTGCTTGGTTTCTTCTGTGTTCACCCTTTCCTTTGTCACATCTGATGACATATACAAAGGTAATCACTTGCACATGTACACATTGTTTTAACAACCTGTGCTGGAGATCTCTTTTTCTTCTCCTCCCTAACACAGCAGGAAGGGTAAATGAGAACCACCTGTCATGTCAGCCAGTGGAAGGTTTGCACTGGGGGAGGTAAACCCCACTGACTTCTAGAAATTTTCAAGCCTGGGAAGGAGCAGGATTTGTAAGGCTTCTGGGAGATTATGCTGTTCATCCAGTCATCTCTCCTGTTTACTCTTTAGTGCTGGTTGTGCATTAGCCCAACCTGGGGAGCTTTAAAAATGACCAGTGTGCAAATGACTCATAAGACCAACTAAATCCTGACTTCAGTCCAGGCGAACCCAGCACAATACTTTACAAAGTGTTCTCTAGGTGATTTTAAAATGAAACAATGTTCAGGGCATTTGACTGAAGTAAAAGCTTTTGGATTTATGGGTTCTAATGAATGAAGCTTGTGTGATCAGCAAACTAGCATATATTAAATGTTTATCAATGGCTGGCATTTCACACATAATCTAAAGAATAATTCTACAGGCTAGAAGTTATCCCTATTTTACAGATGAACTAACTAAGAAGATGAAAATTTCAGTTGTCCTCTAATACCAGAGGTCGATGTAAGTCTGCTTCTGACTCGTTCATCATTCGTAGAGGACACACTAGTCAAGTGATTACCAGAAGCTGGCATTGTCTTGGGAAGGACACAGCAACAGTGACGAAGACAAGCTTTCTTCTCATGCAGTGTGCATTCTAGTTGTGAAGCCAGAAATCAGATACGCAACAACAAGAAGTCCTCATATGTGCCACAACATGACTAGACCCAAACTCACAGTCAGAACCATGGGAGTCACTAGGGAATATGCCAGAGGCCTCCTATAAAGTCATAATTAAGTAAAATACTCAGTAGACAAAAAACAAACAAAAAACCAAGAATGCAAGTCATGTAAATACCTGGGGAAAAGGTACTTGGAAAATTACACAGAAGGCAAAAGCCTTGGCAGCAGTGCTTATTTTATTCAACAATGACTGCAAGGAGAGAGTTTGTGTAGCGCAAGGCAAAGGGAGGAACCACACTAAGAGTTACAAGATCTCCTGGCTGAGCCTTAACATTGATGCAAACTTCTGTCTGTTTAGTTTCTAGCCCTCATTCAATGCCTGGAGATTTTTCCCTTCCTTTCCCTCTTTTGGAGACAGAAACTACTTTTTGCTTTGTAGGACCACTCAGCTACCAACCCAGCACACTGTGGTTTGGTAGGAATTATATCCAATTCCAATTACAAGCTTGTTTTAGTTAATCTAAGCCTCTAACAATATCTTAACCACCATCTTTCTCAGTTCTAGGCTGGACATCAAACTTCATCACAGATCCAGTGATCTAGAAATAGAGAAAGTTCATCACTTTAATGTTCAGTAAGCATTTGTCCATAACACAGTGCAACAAGGGCAATACTACCCTCTCCACCTGGTTTCTCTATGGTGATTGATAATCTCTGTTTTGTTTGTCAGACTCAAGTCACTCCTACACACTAATATAATCTATCTCCCTAGCACATATATTCTCTTATTCTCCATCTTTCACATTATGCATTTTAAAGATGATAAAATAAGCCAGATTACATTAAAGAAAATATTCTAACCTAAGGTTATTACTCATCTGTGATAGGTGCTACAGGATGGATTGTGCTTCTATAGCATCTGTGTACTAATACTCTGATGCCTGATAGCTTGCATTTTGAGATAGAGCCTACGAAAACCATTATGAAACTGAGGCTGTTTGAGTACATACAAACACAATCTGACTAGTGTCCTTAAAAGTTAAGGAAATCTGATCATAGTGGTTCCCTGTGAGAATGTAGTGAGCATCGATCTGGTGCTGAGGAAGGGCTGAGCTATTAGGTTGTCCATCATTCTCAACAGGAGTGATATGTGAGCCCAAAGGCACATGACACCCATTTTGTAGTCTCAGCATTATAACATGATATTCTGTTTAAAACACAAGTACATCAACCTTAAAACACAAGTATATCAACCTTCCAAACTATGTGGAACTTAAGATCAAGTTTCACAGGATGTCCTAGGGAATGGTGACACTTGACCAAGGGTGTAATAATACTACATTCTAGATGTTTGACATAGTATGCCAACCTGTCCGGCTCCAAGATTTAGAAACATTTCTCAGTCACTAAAGTCTGGACTTTATCAAAGCAAAGTATTTAATTGTGTCTCGCTCCCCCATTTATATTTTCACCCCTTACCCACTGTACCTATGAGTTTGTGTTATCTGAAAACAGTCCTTATAGATATAATGAAGTTGAGAACAACTTAGATCTTTATAAGAGCAAGAAGGTCTTTGGATATAGAGACACAGAAGAAATAGAAGGCAGCCAGAGGAAGATGTGTGCAGACAACAGGGTCATATGTAACAGGCTAAGGGGGGCCAAGGCCTACTAGAAGCTGGAAGGGGCAACCAGAGACCCTTCTAGAGACTTCATAGGGACTGTGGCCCTCGATGATACTTGGATTTGATATTTACACACTTCAGAACTACGACTGAAGCATCTTCTACTTTTTAAAAACAATTTTAAAACTTTTTTAACCTTTTCTACTGTTAAGTCCCAAGATAGTAAGAATTTGTTATAGAGACCAAGATCAAGAATGCATTCTTCATACTTTTTTCAACTTTTTCAGCCTCTGACTTTTACATGACTAATGCTCTGTACCTATTTTAATGTTTCCTCCACTTACTTGGTTATAAACTGATATATTCATCCCACAGTACACACCATCTTACACAATGGGTACCTTACACTGTGTTTCACAGAAGTTAGTGAATGTTTAAGTAGAGAAATCACTTCAGCAGATTACTATAAATGCATATATTTTCACCTGTCATATTTAAACTTGCTAACTGCTAAATATTTTGCCATATTCATCTTTAAAAAATCATTTAATAATATGTCATGGAAATCATTGTGTAGCAGCCCAGTTGTGCTGTTTTAAAACTCGATAGTTTAATCAGACAGTTGAATGATAGTTCAGTGCTACCAGAAGGTTCTTTTCCTTGTTTCTAATTTTAGGTCATTTATAAAATTTGCTGCACTAAACATATCTACACACATATATATGTCTATTTGATATCTATATTTGAAGATGACATATGGCAATTTATTAGCCAAATAGATGCTAACATAAAGGATTGCTAGATTAGAGAGATTGCATCTGAAATTTAAGGCAATAATACCAACTTCCTGTGCAAACGTGCTAGATTCATACCAAATAGTTACCACAGAAAATGAAACAAGGAGCTTGAAGAATCACACATTCAATCATACAACTAACCTTAAAGAATAGTTTTAAAGGAAATTTTAGTTTGATATTTTCTTTGCTGAATATTTTGGGACAAATGAGATAAAACCCATCTAGGTTTGCTAAGGAACAAAGAAAGAGCAGTACTCACCTACAGGCAAGTCACACAACATACTAGAAGAAGCCCTGTTCAGCCACTTAACAAAGTTCTGCCACCTGTGTAAGAAAAAGAGACAGGATCTGAGTGATGAGTAGTAATGCTCCCATTACCTCGGAAGCATGCACAGCAAAGCTGAGTTTTACAATACTGAAAGGAATTTTGATATCAGTGTAGGAAACAGAAATTACTTTAGGTATATCTATAGAAAAGACTTTGGTACCAGGAATTAGGTGTCCTAGAGTTACAGCGAGAGGACTTAGGCCATCAGTCCCAGACTGTAAATGGAGAGAAGTTTTGTTGCTGGCTCACCCATCAGAAGACTTTGGCAAAAATGAGTCTTAGGTTTTCTCAAGGAGCTCTGATGTCATATAATTTTATAATAGGAGTGATATGTTAACTATGAAACCAGTTTGTTTTTCTTAAACCTTTTCCTAGACATCGGTCACATGTCAGAAGCATTCTTTGATCAGCAATGTATATTCCGACAGGAGCTTTGAACATGTGGCCTCCAGAGCTCCATGTGAGGAAGAGATAAGCCATGATGTGAAATAATGCAAACAGAAAACCAGGTGACTGTAATAAGAGGCTTAGGATGGCAAAGAAAAACTGGAGGAGAGGAAGCTTTCATGGAGTAATAATAATACAAGCATCAGGTATTACCTCTGGTCTGGAAACAGTTTGCAGTGGATTTATATTTTAATTTTCTTCACTGCTTCTAATTTTAGATACTATTAGGAAGATCATGCATATGCGTAGACCATCTTCCAAACTCTTGACAATAAAATACAACCAAGAGCCTAGTCTACTGATAGTCACAGATTGCATTCCATTTATTTTTCAGAGCTTCCAGGAAATTTTAGGCCATGTTCTCTAAGATACCAAACAGAAGAAAAGGGCCAGAGAAATGGCTCAGTCAATAAAGGACCTTGCTGTATGAGCCTGATAGCCTGAATTTGGTCCCAAGGACCCACTCTGGGAGAGGAGAATTGATTCCCAAAAGTTTTCCTTTGATCTTTACAGGTATGCACGCACGTGCGCATGCGTGCAAGCACACAAACACACACACACACACACACACATACATTCACACACACATACATACACACAGGCACACACACACACACACACACACACACACACACTGATGTGTAATGGATACATAAACAGAGAAAATATAGGAGACAAGGCCTGAGATAAAATAATGCTACAAAGTTTTCCTCTTTTTCTTGATTATATCCTGACAGCCGAGGGGGGGACAAAAATATGGCAAATAGTCATAGGTATCCAACTTGGACATTGTCTACCATGAAACATCATATAGGACATGTGCGGGCAATACATTTCTTAAGATTATTTTACTAAATATTTCCCATTTCTATATCACTTACATTTCTAGACCTTCAGAGAACCATGCAACTCAAACGTAAGAATAGGTTCTCACTGTAATACACTAGTAACTATAATAACAAAAGTATGTGCCAAGCTTCCACCTTCCAACTAGGGGACAAAGGGACAAAGACTATGACCCCAATTCTAGATTCAGAAAGACTTGGTTTCACATTCCAATTCCAGGCTGGGGGTGTAGTTAAGTGGGTAGAGCGCTTGCTTAACAGGCATAACACCCTGAGTTCAATCTCCAGGGAGCATAGTATTGTGTACCTGTAATGAAAAGACTTGCAAGATAGGAACAAATCATCAGGGATTCGAGGTCATCCTCAGATACATAGCAACAGGGATTCGAGGTCATCCTCAGATATATAGCAAGTTCCAGAGCAGCATGTGCTATATGACACTCTCAAACACCACCACCAAGTTCCAAATTCAACTGCAGTTTTCACTTTTCAGAGTGTTCCTGGTACCTTTTATTCAACATTTCATCTCATGGAGACAACTGTTATGTAATACATGTAAACTACTACCCTGAGACACAGGTTAATGGGAGCAATCAATACTAAACCCTTTACAGGTGACTTCAGATTCACAAGGGAGTAGGTCATACAACTTGGTTTCACATCTGTTTTCCACTTTGAAATTATAGCCATTCTTTTAGTGTCTATTAATGTTTACTATTGTAGAAATCTGAGGCCTGTCTGATTTTTATTCCTTAACAAATAATTTCCCCCTTTCTGTTATTTTCACTAAAGATTTTTGACATATTTTGTTTGTCTTTATAATACAAATTGTCATTGTAATACACAAGCACATGGGTACATTTTTTTTCTAAATTTAGCCTGGATGACAGTGAGTTTTTTCAATTTGTATACACAGGGCTCTTTCTTACCAGCTCTGTAAAGTTTCTTTAGTTGGTGCTATTCTTTGAGTATGACTTGTGTGGGTCACCAAACACCTTCTTTCTGCAGCATGGCAATATCGAGGGGAGTTATTAGCACCAGGACTGTTACCCTTGGAAGAGATTCTCAAGGGATTCTGGTAAATTGCCTTACAATTAGTTGTAAAATAACACTGTTCTTTCAACTCAATGGCTTTCTGTCCTGCCATACAATCTCTTCTTTCGCATGTATTTCTGCCATAATGTCAACTGTCACGCTGTGACTCAGAGATAGAGGTTCTCAGGAAAGGGCAGGTCGATGAAGCACCTGATTTTGGACTTTCAGTCTCCAGTGCTTTCAGCTAAATACATTTTTTTAAAAAAAGCAGAGAGATTCATAGTATTTTGTTAAATAAGGAAAAAAATGGGCTACCATAGTGAGGACTTTGGTTTTTATTTTATTTCTCTATTTTGTCCCTAATTTCCAATGATGTCAAGTCATTTTAGATTGAGTCTCTATTCTAGTCTTATGTCTAGTATTTTCTATCTTTTTCCCCTAGTTATTTTTGGGAAGATCCTGAAGAAGTCCCTTAAGTTTGAAATAACACATTAGAGTTTCCCCCTGTATTCCTTTTGTTTATTTATTTATTTTTTATAGATACCCATGACTTCAATTTTCCTTGAGAAGTTGAGAGTTTCTTGAAATTACCCATACTTCCCAAATTTTTTGTGATTTTAACCAATCATCTTCAATGATTTTTAAGCTTCATTTTTATCATTCATTTGTCTCACTATTCTTATCTGTTTATCACTTTCTAATTCATAGTAACAGGATGCATGACTTTTGCATCTTTGAGAGAACCACAAAAATTTCTCAAAATTTTCTAGTTTTTAGAGCAGAAATATTTTCAAAGTATTATTGAAACTTGGAGTTCATAGGATTATACTTCCTTTTCCATGTTCTGTGGTGCTTATTTTAGAGTTTTAAATTTTCTTTTTAAAATTATCTTTTAGGCTAACAGTACTATTTTAAAACAGGCTTTATATGTTGAAGTTTGTTTTTTGTATTCACTACCAAATGAGAGTTTGTCCACATATAATGTAACCAAATGTATACACTTTTCCTGTTTCCATGGTTCGGCTCACTGTTCCTGTAGGCCCACAGACAAAGGACAGATCACAACTCCTGTGGATTCTTGACATCTCAGATTCTTCTTTTGAAGTTGCACATGGGATACCCTCTCCATACTTGTTGGATAGAAGACACTGGTATCCTGTGTCATAATCCACACTCTCCGTAGTGCATACAACTGCCATCTGTTTCTGTGCTGACACAACTCAACTTTCAGGGATGGCACTGCCAGATGCAAACACTTCCCACCTTGCTCAGCCTAACTCTTTCCTCTGTAATTTCAGAAATAGGTTCTCAGAATATGTACAGATAAGGGGTGTGTTGGAAAGTATTCATATATCTGTCCTCAGGCAGGGTTGGGGGATAGCACTGTCAGCAGTACCATTTCATGTTTCTAGTGGGGGAAGACTTGTCTGTGGTCTCTCAATTAAGAGGAAGGCATCAGTGCACCTTCTGCCTGGCGAGCTTCTTAGAAAGCCTGGGACTGGTAGCTTGCTGATTCCCCCACATTCCACTAGATTTTGACTGGTGACAATTAAATCTTGATTCTGACACATAAATGGAGTGCCCATAAATTTTAGTAACTTCAGTAGGTTTTGCCTTATTTCTTATCCATTTATCTAGGGGCTACAAAGCAGATGCCTTTTTATATAACAACATTTGATATTGAGAAATTAAGCTTAAACACTGCAAAAATCAAAACATGGTCTATTTTACAGAACATCTTTGTAATCTCGATGGAGTTAGTTCTGGGAAACATGTTCCTCTGGAAGATTCATATAGTCAGAAAGACTTCTGGATATCCACCCGAACCAGCCGCTTTTCTTCATCTCCAATCTGTTCACTTTGATCTTAGTACCAGGGTGTGGCAAGCCAGATTTGCAAGGTTTGGATTTCCTGTATTACTGGGTTGCTTCTGTTTCTCATAGCTTATCAGGTAAGCTCCTGCAGATCCAACCATTCTCAGTCAGGAGGGCATAGAGGAGGCAGCTCTGTCCAGACTGCCATGTAGAAAAGGCACACCTGGGTTTTAGATGTTCAATCTTTCCCTCAGAATCCTGGAATTCTTAACTCTAGTTGAAGGGGGCAAAATATGCCTGTCAGGGGAGACATCTAGCAAGCAAGATGCAAAAATTTCCCAGGGTTACCTCATATATTTATGTCTCCCTTGATTGAAACCTTCACATATGATTTATTAGTGGGTAGAACCTTTGGAAGGTTTCGGTCCTGGAGCAAACCCTCAGGAATTAAACTAATTTTCTTATAACAGATTCTTCATCCTTTCTCTTATGTGAGGTTATGGTAAGAAAACTGGATCTCCAACCTCCAGAATTGTCAGAAAATGGTATCTGTGGCTCATGGACCTGTGCTATTGAAGCACACATAGATTATAACAGGCTGCCATGAAAACACCCCACAGATCCTGGGATGGAAATTCAAGGTTTAGTTGCCAGCAAAGGGAAATTCTTCTTTACTGACTCCTCACATTCCAAACTGTTTCCAGTACCAGCCCAAAGAAGAACACCAGCACCCAGTTTATCCAAAGGCTGTGGTCCAGCCACAGGCAAGCTTATCATGACTGTAGGACTTGCAGGAAAGTGGCTACAGTGTATGCTTATGGCCTAACACAAGAACTGGGGAATCTGCATCAATTCAGCCTGCCTGATGAATTTATCTATCAGGGACATATAGGCCTTGGGCTGTCAATAAATCCATTCCCTCATTTGAAAGATAGAATAGTACCTATCACATGGAGCTGTTGAGGGAACTAGAAACGTTAATACTTAATAGATCACTTGAAATATTGCTTGTTATTGTTTAAGTTCTACAAATTTTCTCTATAAACAGTAACAACTTTGTTATCATTGTCATCAATGCTAATGTAGAAGCTGAATTTGCTATCTAACACTGAGTCAACTGACAGACCGTTGGTTGCATATCTCTAATAGTTCTTTGTGTAACACTCTTCCTACTACCTTTAACCAGCAACTGCTGAATAAGACACCTCATGTTGCCTTTATCTAATAAATTCTCTGCTTGTTCCGAGGATTAGCAAAATGTACTTTCCAACCCAACTCTATTTTCAATAATGTGCCAGATGTGTATGGTAAATCCTACTTGTGGCTATGTCAATTGCTCTACTCTATTCAGGAGGCCCCCATAGCAGCTTCATTATTTATCTCCTCCCCCAACAGAATTTGGCTTGCACGTGTGTTCTAAACTGGTTTAAAGCATTTAATTTTGCCAATATAATTTTAGAGTATTAGATTGCCTCCTGTTCTTGCTCTGCCCTCCTTAATTACCATTTATTACAGAGTCACATAGAAACATTAAATGTGAATTCTGACTTCCATCTCCCTGGCCAAGAACAGGGATATGATTTCCATCCAACACAACCTGAGCTCATTTTACATAAGGGTGATTCAGAGTGGAGATTAGAAATAATAATCGAGTCTTCTTCACAATCGCCTTATCCTGGCAGTTATTCACCAATGTGTCTGCTAATTGCTAGGAAAATGGGAAAATAAAAATGAAATCTCAGAGCTTAAAAATATATTTAAGAAGCAGCAACAACAAAAAACCCCACAATTTTGTTTCAGGGTTAGCAAAATTGCCCCTCTTGTCAGCTCTTGCAACATGCTAGTTTAAAAAGAGAACACGACTCATTTTATTTGGCTAGATGGGGCTAATCCCACATCACCACAATCCCTCCTGATGTTTTATTGATTCTAAAGGACATTTAATCAGGAAGCAGCTCAGCACTAGAATCCTGCTAATTAGCAGACAGCCACATTCCAAATGGCTTTCCAATTGAACACAGATTAATGGACAATATGTACTAAGATAATGATTCGAGCATTCAGCTCCTAAAATGTGTGTCTAAATTGCATCTTTAATCTCCTAAGGATGTAGGGTTGCATACAAAGCTCATAATGGACTGAGTTTAATTCACAGAAGATGCTTTAGCCAATAACTGGTTAAAGATGAAATAGGTTTACCTCTTATAAACAAATATTTCTTTGATTCTCATGGTTTTGAAATCCTAGAATATTCTAAGGTCAAAGGAAATAAGTATCTGCTCTTATATTCCAGATCTCTGCAACACTGCTCCTGAATTAGTCATTAGTCAACAATATCAATGGAGTCCTTACTATGTCCTATGTTTAATGTAAATTTTGGTACTTGATTTTCTTTTTTCCTTTAGACTAGATCCACTTTGAGAATCTCCTTTTGGTTTCTCGTCTGTGTCTAACTCCTTTTTCTGCTTTTTGTAGCTTAACCTTCTCTAAGGAAAGGCTCATGTGCAAAACTGGTCCATAGGAATTCATCTACTGGGTTGGACTCGAACTCATTCACTTAATTGACTGCTCTTTGCAAAGCCTTCACCTACTTTATGTTTCCTTATTGCTCCCATGACCTTGTGATATGCCATATGTTTCATTTTATTTTGCTTTATTTATTTTTGAGACAGGGTTTCTCTGTGAATTCATGGCTGTCCTGGAAACTCACTCTGTAGACAAAGCTAGCCTTGAACTTATAAAGATCTGCCTGATTCTGCCTCCCAAGTGCTAAGATTAAAGACATGTGACACCATCACCTGGATATACCATATATTTTAAATTGATTTCTCATTCCAACTAGAATGCACCTTCTTGAGTAAGGGGCTTTGTTTTCTTCGTAGCTGTAGTCCCAGTTTCCAGAATAATGTTATATTTCTGGTTCTTGGCAAATGTTTGTTAAATCAATGAATTAGGAAGCTCAGCAAATACACACTGTGTACCTATCTTGAGCCCATTGTAGGTAAGATGCTGTGACCATTCACCGTGAGGAAAACAGCTGTTTCTTGAGATAGGGTGATCATTGTATAGACATCAATTAAGAAACCACACAAATAAAGCCACTGTTCTAAAGAGCACTAGGAAATAAGGTGCTGTTGGAGCATTTAGTACTACGGACTTGATTTTGTGGAGATGGTTGGAAAAAGCACTGTTCAGTTTGACCATGAAATAGTTTGAGATAACCTCGCTCTTAATTCAGTTGAAGCACATAAACATTTATCATCATAATATCTACTGCTTTAGACATTTGGGATACAGAACTGAATAAAGAATCTGTTTGTCCTATGGTACTGTAGTTCACTGTTTAGCAAAATATGGCAATGAGTATAGCATGCTAAATCAGTGTTATTAGAGGTTAGGTTTTTTTTATGCTCAATGTAGTGTGTGTGTGTGTGTGTGTGTGTGTGTGTGTGTGTGTGTGTGTGTGTGTGTGTGTGAAACAGTCAAAATAAGTTGGGAGGCTCATAGAGCAAACAAAAGGAAAACAGGTAAAAGGGAAAGATGGGGGTTAGAATTCCAAATAAAGTAACTAGTATAGCCCACACAGATTGTGTGAGCCCTAAGCTAAGGGGTTTTCTGTCTTTTCCTTTCCATTGTTATGAACAGTTTTCTACTTTCATACATAAGCCAGTACCTATAAAAAGCCTTGAGGACAACTCTTTAACATCTCCAGAGGATGTCCTTAGGACATACATCCTGTACTCTTGGTAAGGTATGCTATATCCTCCTCGCTCTTCCTAACCTCCAACTCTATCTTATTCCAACTATTTGAAGATTCTAGCCTGTTACTTTCCTCATTACTCTGCAACAAGCTAAGCCAAACTTATTGCTTTCCTTTCTTAATAGTCATTGTTTGATGTTGATGCTTGATCCTCAACATCTGTAAACACATTTCATCTGTTTGATCCTACTATTTGGCTGTTTCAGAAGGAATGGCAAGTATAGGCAATGGTAGTTCCTATGGACTGAAAGGACAGGTTTCTTGATTTGTGTTTCTATGACTTCTAAGAACTTTTTTGTGCTAAATATTTAAAATGATTACATTTACTTAGTGCATGCACATGTGGAGGTCAGATGTTGATGTTTGAGAGCAGACTCTTTCATTCTACCATGGGAGATTCTATCACTCTATCAGGGATGGACATTAGGTTATCAGGCTTGGCAGTAAAAGCCTTTAGCAAGTGGGCCATTTTGCCAGCTTCTTTTGGTCTCAATAAAACATTCTTTATGTCAAGTAATTGAAATCCGTTTGTTCCCACAGGAAACTTGTTCTCTAAAGGCAGATCTCTGTGTTTGGCATCCTATTAGAAAGCAATGGGGATAAGGAATTTTCATAGTTCCACAAATAGCACAGTATAGTGGCCAATGTGTCTAACATCAGACATTATCTTTTTCTCATGATTCTGAGATGACAAAAAGGTACAGTTCTGTCTTGGAGGTAGCTCTTGCCTTTTTGTTGTGTCTTTCTACAGTAGAGAGCAAAAGGAAGTTTTGGTGTCTTATTTTCATGGAAAGATACTACTTCTCTCAGCATGGTCCAACTTCATCTAAATACAGTGACCTTCTAAGACTTAAGGCCCAGACTCATCATATTGAAAGTTAGGTCCTTACCACATTTTCATTTTGGTAGGGCACAAACCTCAAAATTCAACTTACTTTATTTCACCTTGGTAACCCAAATCTTGATGGTTAAGCAATGTTTCTAGCAGGGTCAAGGTTAGATACAGTCCATGCCTGCCACATATAGCTCTGACCTAGAAATCAGAAAGGATTTGAAACTTTAGTAAAATGGAACAAATGTTTGGATTTCTTCTCACTATTATAGCTCAGATGATTCTAATAAGGAGTATTGCTCAAGAGCACATGCTGTTATTGAGTTATCCTTCAGCACGAACCTTTTCAGCTCAGTGTTTATGGGTAACAAACTTCTATTTAGTTGACAGGCAGGTGTAGCTTTTCGGAAGCCACTAGGTTTTCTATTACTGAGCTACATTTTTGTCAACCGCTATGTGCTTAAGGGCTAGGAAGGATATACCTTTCTTCATGTTGATATATTATAAAACATTTTGTATCATTTACTTCCATTTGTAAAAACAAGTATGTTGTATCCATGGTTAATGCCATTGTCCTAGTTTCTTTTCCTGTTGTGAGGAATTAGTCTGACAAAAGCAATTCAAGGGATAACAGGTTTAAACTGATTCAGTTCAAACTGCAGTCCATCGTGGTGGCAGCAAGGCAGCAGGAACATACAGCAGCTGGCCAGGTTACATCCATAGTCACAGAGCAAAGAGCAATAAACACATGCTAGTTCATAGCTTGCTCGCTCTGTTTTCTGCAATCTGGAATTCCCAATCCAGGGAAGGGTCTCACCTACAGTTGAGGAGGATCTTCCTTCACCAATTAAGAGAACTGAGACAATCCTAGGGGACCGGGCAAAAATCCTATCTCCCAAACTGTGGATTCTATCAAACTCAAAATTAACTCTAACCATTACAATCTTGCCCTTCTTAGGTTAGCTAATTACTAGAGAGAGTAGAAAACTCAGCTGAATGTGAGCAATCCAATTAGACAAAAGGTTTTATAAATACTCTCAGGACTCACTCCACTGCTCCTTTGACTTTTCATCCTGGGACAAGGGACCAGGAAACCAGGGACAGTATCCAAAGTTCCAGAGTTCATGGGAGTTATTCAAACCAGCCAATCTTGAGCTTGCTTACCTTGCTTTGCTTAGTCATTCCACAAGAAACATAGCCACAGGCCCTTCCCACCTTCCCATTTTTGTCCTATACCACAAAGGTGCCTCCCTGGATAGCCTTACACGGGGTGATATCTTCTTTTTAGTAGCAATTATCTACAGATCTGTTAGTATAAGCATAGTCAAACAATAATGGAATCTACATTTTAAAGTAGTGTCAAGGGCTTATGTCTGTGATGTTTTCTTAGCTTAGGCAAGGTCTTGGGTTCATCAGCACACAATAGGCAAGCAAGCAAGCAGAGGCCAAATGCTCATCTTTGCTTGTGTTTCTGAGGCTTTCAAACTTGCCTGCTACTATATAGGTGTAGAGAAATTAGAGTCAGAGGGACTTGTAGAAGAAAATAAAAACAGATTTTTTGGTAACATTAAAAAAAAGTTTACTAAGTGTAAGGAGTTGAGGAGAATGCTGGACAGAGGACAAGAAGATACGAACAATAGTTGAAAAATTTCCAGACCACTTCGAATGGTATATTGGTGTTGCACATTCTGCTGTGGTTGTATGCCTTTTCCTGGCAGGGCATCAAACCTATCACTTTCTGAGCTTCCTTGTGAGCTAGCATCTTTTCCAGGATGAGATGGTCCTTTAGTCATTTATTTTCTTACCACTATTGCTTAGCAGTCTTGGAAAATAAAGGATCCAAGTAAAGGATGAATGCTAATAGGGTGTGTGGGGAGGGCTTAGCAAAAAAGCAAAGGCATATAGAAACTGATCACACATTTTACCATTTTTATTTAATAACTAAAAACTTATGAACCTCATGATTAGAGCATACTGATGTGTTTTTGGACACCTATGTTGAAAGTCTATTCTCAAAATAGACCATTCTGTCAATATTCAGTTTTTCTCTAGGCTAAAATGAATAGCAGATTAGAAAGAGTACATCATGGTACCTAGACACAGACTGATTGACAACTGTAAAACCTGACTGATAATCATGAGGAGCAATGGAAATATCTACCCAAAAAATTAATTAAGACAGTGTTATTCAGGATTACTATTAAAATACTTCAAAGCATAAATATTCCTGCTGATCACCCTTGGTAAGAAATGTTTAATTTTCTTTCTCAATGAGGAAATGGTTTCAATTAGTAGTAAATAATTTTTTCAAAGTAAAACCAATAAACCATATTATTTAGCAAGTGACAGACAATGTGATTATTCGTGTTAATAATGTCTCTTGAAAATTGGCATATAGTCACAGGTTACATCATGAATTTTTCCCATTTTACACCATTACTTGACTAAACCATTATTACCAGTTACAAGAAATCACTATGTGTTTCCAGTTAACAGATTTTGCCCAATTCAAAGTTGCCATCTTTGCAGCATGGGACTGAATGGCCATGCTCTGCTCCTCCAAGCTGTTTTTCATTCCTTTCTTGAATGCTCCTATATCTCCTTTGATCATATTTAATCTTTTTCATTGACTTCTCTTGGCTACTTACTCCAAATGGGGTGCCTTCTTCAGTCTTCTTACTGTCTCAGACTTCTGTATGCTTGGGAGTGGTCTAAACTGCTTCCATGATGTCCAATCCATCTCGAAGAGTCTCAAGTCATTATGCAATTTCAGTCTTACTACCCAGAGAGTCATGTGCGTCGGCTCTTACTTTACTCCTTCACATTACTCCTTTCTTCAGTTTATTATCTTAGTGAAAGCATTGTCATCTAACAAGTTGGTGATTTTGGAGCTAGTTTTGACCCACATTCAATGACACAACAAAATGTGCCTTGTCTTTCCTAGTGTGCCCATGCTTCCAGTTAGTGCCTTATTTGAAGTATCATCAAGGGAGTAGCTTCCTACAAGGCTCCACTTTCGGTTTTGCTTGTTTGAAAAAAAACTCTCAAAATTATATTTAAATGTCCCTTTGATAGCTCAAATGTGACTATGTTATTTGCACATTTAAAATGCTTTGGTGGCTACAATGGTTTCATAGAGTAAAATGTAAACTTCTTGGAAAGATCCTTCATACACAGGATCGTATTTTTTACTCCACAGTTGACTTAAAACTTTTCCTTAAGTGGTCATTTTCTCTCTGAGTCCTTATTCTGGAATGATTCACACTGTGCGTTTGGCCCAGATCATCATTTTACCTTATACTCTTCTGTTTGTTTTCAAGCCTATATGCTGATCAAGGTACAATATTTACACAATCTCTTTGGACCACTTTCAGATAAGCTACATTGGTGTCCAGTTCTATGCTCAAGTAATGGCTAACTCTACCTTTGTCACAGAATTTTGATGGCATTTGTCTTTCCTTAACTTCCTGATAAACACTGAAATTGAAATTGTTCTGGTTGGTACCTAGAACACACAGTGATTAATGTAGTCAAAAGTGAAAATCAGTTAAATAATACTGATCAGAAATATAGCTGTTGCATTGAAGGTAGAGAATAATGCAGAAATAGCAGAAATATTTGAACTGTTTTAGGACAGAGATATAGAAACAATGAAATATGAGAAGTGTGACTGAGAAGCTGTAGAAGATGGCTGGGGAATCTGACATCTTAGCAAATGTTCAAAGGGGAATTTTGGAAGTTCTCTAAAAGTATTCAACTGAGGCTACATGCTCAAGATCTGAGTTTGTACAGTTCTGGTGAATGTATACCTTGCTCAGGAAATGGGCAAGATGTGATAGCTAATTGTCAACATGATGAGATCTAGAGTAACCTGAGGGATGGGTCTCAAAAGATAACTGAGAGATTATCTTCATTAGATTAAATTAGGTGGCAAGACCTCATCATTGTGGGTAGCACAATTCCCCGAGTGGGATCCTCGAATCTATAAAAGAAGAAAGTGAGCTGAGAACAAGCCTTCATCATGATTCTCTATTTCTTGACTGTGGATGCAATATAACCAGCTGCTTCAAGCTCTTGTTGCTGTAACATACTTGCCATGATGGTCTGTACCCTCTAGTTGTGAGCGAAAATAAGCTCTTCCTTCCACAATTTTGGTAGGGTATTTTATCATGGCCATAAGGAGAGTTACTAAGACAATGGATCAGTTAATAAAGAAATACAAGTGGATCCACATTGTCTTTGCAGTCTTGTCAAGTCACCAATGTACCAAAAATGTACACGACAACAAGATGACTGATACTAAATTTGTTTCTATACTATTTTTTGTGACTGGTCAAAACTCAATTGATGTGGGTGACAAGATCTAAAGATTAGTTTTGACAATGTTTAGTTTTCTTGGAAACCACAGGTGGTCTGCAAACCCTTTGAATTGAGATAGTTTTTGGTGTTTTTATTCCCACTTTATTCTTATTTTTTCATCTTTTCCTGGTAAGGGGTAGTGTATAGCTGTCATGGACTACCCAAGAAAGTTCATGGTTCTCTTTTCTGCACTTTTAACAAAGTTAAGACGTGTAGTTCTAAATTTTCAATGCTTCTTGTCTTTATATTCTGCTCTCAACTTAGGGTCCAGGAATAAGGAAGTTGTGGTGTGGCTGCAACCTTTTGCTTCCTGTATCAAATATCCCTTGGGCCTTAATTTGCTTCACATTCTGAGGAAACAGAACTCTATTTAACATGCCTCCCAGAACTGTATTACTCTTTGAGTGAGTTCCAGATGTCTTAAGAGATGCCAGATGGCTCATGAAAGACAGACCAGCTTTAAGGAAAATACACCCTGTTTCCTTGGATTTGTACCATAAAGTTAAGCTTTCAGTCCAGCGGTAGACAAGAACACTTAAAGACTCTATGATAGCCAATGTTTAATGCTGTATCATCTGACCACAGGACAAAGACCTCAGAAAACTGGTGTATGTGTGTGTGTGTGTGTGTGTGTGTGTGTGTGTGTGTGTGTGAGAGAGAGAGAGAGAGAGAGAGATACTGGGTCACACACAAATACTTTCACATGCTTAGTATCATTTAATCTTCATAATAGTCAAAGAAGGTGCTACTTGGAACCGAAGTTTTCCAGATGAAAATCTGAGACCAAAAGATTTTAAGCGGGTGCATTTTAATTTTCAAGTTACTTGTGTTATAGTCTATGCATAACATCTGAGAACACCAGGCTTCGCCAGTGGCATTACATGGTTTCCAATCTAACAAAGAACTGCTGTTTCTTAGTCTATTCTTATTCTCATGAACATAAAACAGGCAAGTCATGAGGTTCAGACTGTCCTGCATTATTCCCTTTCTACTAAAACATGTTTGCATATACAGGAACAGGCACATGCACACACAGACATTAGCATAAGCCTTGCTTTGGATGCCAACTGCATAATTGCAGTCCCAGAGAAATGCAGCTTTTGTTTGCGAATAAAACCTCACCTGTACTGTAGTGTATCTTTGCTTTCTTAGTAAACATCAGAAACTAAGCTGACTCCCTTAGCTTTATTCCCAGCATGCCCAAAACGAAGGATATGTGCCAATGTGTCTGATAGACTTGTGCCCCCTATAATTTCCAATCTTCTCTAATGTTCTAATTTCTATCATTTGGGTAGTGTTCTCAGTAGAAACTTCTAGACATCGCCTAGATGTCTAGAATATTAACTCTGTCCCTTGTTACTTGTGGCCAAGAATTAGTTCAGTTGTGTTTTTCAAAATTTAGAATTTATTTGACACCTAACTATGTTTCATGATATATTGTGTAAAGAGGTAACTTTGCTGATGTTATACGAGAGATCATGTCAGTTAAGAATTTAGCACAGTGATCAGCACTTAGTAAGAATTAAACAGTGTGAAGCTGTGCTATTATCAATGCAGTTATCATAATAGCAGCAATCATCATTCTACCTCTTTCCAATGTAGCTTTGAGACATCAGTTTATTTGGCTAGGGAAGATTCATGAATTAATATGGTTCTGGGTCCTCTTCCATGAAACACATCTGCACTGGTAATTACTGTCTCAAATCAGCATGCTGAGCTCTATCCACAATAAATTACATCAATCCTAAAATATGGTCTTCCCAAGGCATGAGATGCCACATGCTGGTCCCAGTAGAAGCTGAGAGAGGATGTGAGAAATGAGTTTGGCCTTGGGAAAGCACTTGTTTCCATTGTGAGGTGTTATTTGGATATTATCGTATTTTTTATTATTAACATTAGATATAGCACAATGTAAGTAACTGCTGGACCAGTTTTGTACATTAAAAAATCTCTTCTCTGTTTTTCTCTTCTCAAGTACACACACACACACACACAAACACACAACCACCCCCAAAACAGTTGAGTAATGTAATCCACAGGGAGAACACAGACAATAGCTGTGCCTATGGTTAATATAGACTCAATGTTCTGCAGAAGTTCTGTTGACCCTTGACAAATCTGAAATCTAATTTTGGCTACCTTAGGCAGAGGGAGGCAGCCAGAAAATGACTGATCTTCTTTGCGAAGGCTCAGGTTGAGGTTGTCTATGTTGAATTTGCCTTGGCATGTTCTTAGTGCCATCTTCAAAATCTCCAGCAAGCTCTTGTTCACTTCCGATAGTAAGCCAGAACCTTGAGGTGGTGTGCTGCGTAGAGAGGCAAACAAAAGACTATGAGAAAGATGGCCTGCTAAAAGTCTCCATGTTTTCATGTTGTGCTTCTCAGTTCGGCTATTCCCTGGGATTCACCTAAATCTTAATAACCTGGAAATGGGAGGAATGTGCAATTTTAATAGATTAACCTAACTTATTTTCACAGAAATGAGCCTTGCAATTTCTTCTCAGGAGGCACAAACCAGCTGGGTTCTCACGTAGATCTAGGCACCTAAACTGTCTTCTAGCTCTCTTTTCTCATTTGAGAGGAAAATAGAAATAAAAAGCAAATTATATTCTTGACGTACTTAATCTTTGTACTTTTAAGTTCAGTTAATTACAAATAGTTTTCCAAACTAATGATTTCCACAAGCAAAGCCAAACATATGCTGCCATATTGTAATAGGGGACTTACACAGGAAATCCTCTACTGGGCAGAGGTATTGCATGATTTCTAACCTTCTTCTTTATGTCTAGAGACCTAGCGTTTGGGGAATAATATTTACTTGTAGTCTAACATGTAAATATATAATTATTAATACATTCATGCTTGGTTTATTTCTTCTTTAAATAATTGGTGAATGGTAGAAGTAGCTGGGCACTAAAATGTTATATTGATTTATTTCACAAACCCTTTACTCACAAATTCATTTCTTCCTCCTGATCCATCTTAACTACACCTCCTCTGTGAAGTTCAAACTGAGTTACACTTTTGACATGAAGTGTCACCTGCTCATACTGAGACATCCACACCTCACGTCCACATGTACCAAGTTTCTTTCAGTGGTGTGCAGACTTTGCCAATCAGATATCTGGGTTTCGGATTTGATTTGATTTTCTCCTTTCTTTCAACACCAGTTTCTAAGGGTCAAGATTCCTCAGGCGTAGGTTCTTGCTCAGTTGGCTGAGTGCTGACTGGGAAGGAGCTATGTGGAATGTACTAGAGATGGCAGGATTTCTGGAAAGACTGTTCCAGGAGTATATTTCGTCTGTTTTATTTTAGTCTCCTGCCAAGGAGCTACCACACCCAGCAGATGATAATAAGGACTTCCTCTTCAGCTGCTGGCTCAATCTTATATTTCTATCAACACACTATTTGCTCTGAACAAAGCAATTCTTCTATGATATACTCAACATGACCTCTTTTTGTACCTTCATAAACCAGAGATTCCTTGGGGTCCTGCAAGTCATGTGGTATAACATCTTTAAATACTTGGAAATGTCATTTTATTCGATACATATTTGTTGAGCACCTTTTATAAGCCAGCAACTACGGCAGGACTAAGAGAGACATAAAGTTGGCTAGGGTAGATGCCATTCCTAACCTCAAATGCCAAATATGTAACTCTTAATGCAATGCCTGTCAAGAAGGAAAAGAGCTCTGGACCATGAGAAAAAGAAATATAATCCCATCCAGGGGACAGAAGTGTCCTCCTGTTTAGCACTTATTAGTTCTGGGTGGTCAATAAACTTCCAGAACCATAATTTTATAATCTATAGTACATGAGGGATGGTTGCTGCTTATTTAAATTTTCTGTGGCTCATGGCTACTAATAACATAGTTGTTTCCTGAGCCACACTTAGCTGGAGTATCCACATACTAATATAGTTTTCTATTGATTATGACCCCATAAGGAGGAGACAAGGCCTGTCCAATTTGGGAATTTACTGTGTCCAGCAGAGTGCACCCTGCAATGAAAATTTGCAAAATTTAAGCATTACAGTCAAGGGTTGAGGTATAGGAAGGTATTATTGTTGCAAAGAATGGAATCTACCTGTGGGTGGAGACATACCATGTCTTCTCCCTTAATAGTTAATCCAGTAGGGTAGGTCAATCAACTAGCCAAGGGACCATCCCTAAGGAAGTTGAGTTCACAATAAGCCATGCTAAAGAAATGGGAAGAATAATTACCCCCTTAATGGGACAATGTTCTTTTCCCTCCCCACATGAAGTCATTTACTGAGCCAAAGCCATGTAGCTTCTTTAAGTCTTTACACTGTTATGAGTTACTCAGGAAGGCATAAGTTGACTTCCTTCTTCTTATTTCTTTTCTAAGTATGCTTTCCACACCCTTTGGGGCTCAGTTTTTCTATAGCTCACCCCCACAGCCTGTCTGCCATATGTCTGACCTCTTTGCTGGCTCAACTTAAATGTCACAGTGTCGTGACTTCCTCTTTTCCTCTTCATCTCCCTTGCCTGGTGGGGCAGCTGCCAAAATTTACATCTTGCTTGCCTTGGGTTTTATTTCTAATAAAATTGTCTTTGAGCTTTCTTCTGAGTTCTTTCATAAATTATTTTATTAATGAGACTAAGAACCCAGAGGGTGACAACTCTGGTGGGACTTGCTAAATTTTCTAGAACAGAATCAGCTCTACTGCCTGGGTCCAGGGACACCTATCCCCAGTGTTACAGTTTCTAACTATGAAGCAGCCCTAACTGAAAAGAGAAGTAATAAGAAGACCATGTACCAGGAACTGTTCTAAAGAACTTTGTACTTGTCCATTTATTTTATTTTACTTTCAGTTGTTTTACAACAGAATTTCACTTCATACCTCTGCCTGCCTTGAACTTGCTGTGTAGAAAAGGCTGACATGAAACCCAGAGTGATCCTCCTGCATCTGTTACTTACTTTTAAAATTAATTTTCTGTGTTAGAATACAATACCAAGAATTTCATTAGGTAAGTTTCACAAACACATCTCACTAAACATGGCTCTCAATCATCCTGCTTTTCATGCTCCATTATCCTAGGAAAACCTCTTACTTCTTCCTTTCCTTCCCCAAGAGTGGCCCCCAAATCTCACTTTCATTGTTCTTTCTTTTCTTCTATCCCTTAAGTTCTCTTTCTCCTCTTTCACAATACCTTTTAGTTTCCTGACCTATATTCACACAGGTATAAATACATACATACACACATGCAAGCACACTCATACACACTTTTAAATCTGAGTCGTAAGATATCCAGAAAAGGGAAAACATACTTGTTGATCTTTGACTTCATTAATAGCTAAAAATCAGTGAAAGGAAGTTTATTTGAATCTGTTTCCAACTGGACACTGCAAGCACAGCAGAGGTAGGTTAATTCTAAGGTTACATAGTTATTCTGTGATAAAGATCTTGAACCCAGGTTTTTGGCAATAAAGCCCATGTTCCTGACAACTGAACTCCTTCCTGTTCTTGGGAAGCAAAGAAAATAGCACACAAAATTCTGCCTCATGTCTAATATATCTCTCATATACACTTTGATAAAAAATCTGTCATTTCTTTTGCTTGCAATTAGGCAGAAATATTATTGATTTTGATATTTCAAACCCTTTGCCAATACCGATAACATAGGACTTCCCTGATCAAACCTACTTTTAGGATCACACTTTATAGGTGAGATCTGCTCCATACATGATTCTTTCTTTTTTTTTTTAATGAGATTTTCTTTTTCAAACATAAACACAAAAGAAGATATTTTGGCATTAAGAAATACATGATATTAATGCAAATTAGTTTCTATTCTGAGCAGGGAGAGATGAGAGGGAGAGGGTATGGGGAGGGAGCGAGGAAAAGGGGAGAAAAAGAGACAGAGATAGAGACTATACACACAAACCAAGTGTTTGTGAATTGGGTTTGTTACTCTAGCGAATATGCCTCCACTATCCTGAAAGTTCTAAAATTCTAGGTCAATGGACTAAAAGTTTGTTTCACAAATTCAAACTCTGGAGCTTTAGGTCAGGAGGCTGAAGCCCTCATGAGAAGAACTAATGCTATTACAGTAGAGGTTACAAGGTTTCTTTCTATTCCCTCCCCCCCAATGTGACATCTGAAAACCAAAACATAAGCATCTTCCATCTTAAACTTTGAACTTTCAAAACTAGCCAGCAACAGTATTTCAATTCACTGCAACAATATAGCTTGAGAGATGGAGGAACAATATGCCTATGAAAAGGGAAAGAATACCTTTGTCTATGTTGGCATTGGCTTGGAGTTTTCCTTGGGTTATTGTATACAGCATTTCCATTTTTCTCCAATTTATCTGAACTTGCCCCTTTTAAAAACCAAAGTAGATCTTCATAATTCACCTAAAAATTAAATAGAAAATCTTTACTTAATTTGCATTTAAGGGAACGTGGCCTGTTGGAGCCAGTGTACTTGGAAAATGTTTACCATTGATAGTTTTTAAAAATCCTATTTAAAAATTCAGACCCATAATTATTAGTGGTTTGGGATAAATGGTCTTATCTGAACAAATAGCAAAATAGTACCTCCTCATCGATACCTGGTGGTTGGGCATATAGCCCAACTACTTAAATTCTTGGCAGGAACCTTATAGCACTAAAAGATTTTTAAACATGCAATAGCCATATATTCATTCAAAACCCAACATATAAAACAGTTTTGACCATCCTCATACAGTTTTGCCTCACTGTAGCCTTGCTCTGAGCACACATCATATGCACTGCTCTTGCATTACATCATCAAACACCAGTGATCCCTGTCTGAAACACCTTGCCTTGGACTACAGACCACCATGTGTTGGTAATTGCAGGGTTCTTACTGTACATAGAGCTTTCTGCCCATACAGAAACACAGGGGGCTTAATTACAGAAAATGAAGACTTTTGGTATTTTTTAATGCAATCATTCCTCAGTATATTTTGTCAATTTAGTGTATTTTTGGATTATATTTTATTCAAATGTTTGGTAGAAAAAGCTGTTATTTGAGTTCTTAACTTGACTTTCATGAACATGCATTCAGTGAAGTTTAAATTGTGATTAGGATTAGGATAGGTTTTTCATCTTCAAAGGTAGCATTAAACATACTTCAGCCGTTTTGAACTGGGTTGTTTTTTGTGATGAGATATGCTTAGCGTTGACAATTACACAATGATAGTATCGATCAATTTTGATAATTGATGTATGAAAAATGTTGAGGGTGCTCTATATTGTGCAGTAACAAATATTCAGCTCAGACTGGCTTCTTGGTTGTGTTTATGAATGTGTGTAGTGTATGTGTACTTACACAAGTATGGACACATATGTATACTTGTGGAAGGTTGTTGTTAGGTATCTTTCTCGGTTATGCATTGCCTCGTGTATTAAGGAAGAGTGGCATGACTTCATTTAAGTTGCATATATACATATATATTTACACATAGTATAATTTTATGTAAATATAAAATAATACCATTCCTTAGGTTTTGTCAAGAATCCTTAGTGTTATTTGTAAAGAAGTAATTCTGGGGCTGGGGAGATGGCTCATGAGGCAAAGCACTTGCCACACAAGAAAGACATGAAGAATGAGAGTTCAGATTTCTAGCATCCTACCTATAATCCTAGCTCATGTGAGAGGAGGACGAGTTCCCCGGATTAAGCCAGTTAGCTAGGTTCAAGTGAGAGACTCTGCTTTAATGCAGCTATATTTATAAAGTGCCTACTGGCACATAGTTCATGGGTTTGATTCCCAACATCAAATAAAACCAGATTTTGTGGCAAAAGCCTATATCAGAACTCTTGTAAGATGGATGCAGGAGGATCAGAAACTCAAGGTTATCTTTTGCTGTGGCATAATCCTTTTGTACACTGTGAAGATTTGCCACTGTGATTGATTTAATGAAGAAGCTGAATAGGATAAAGTTAGGCAGGAAAGCCAAACTGAGAATGATAGGAAGAACAAGGCAGAATTAGACGAGTCACTAGCAGAAACACAGAGAGAAGCAATATGGGCATGCTGTACTGAGAAAAGGTACCAAGCTGCATGGAAAAACATAGATAAAAATATGGATTAATTTAAATGTAAGAGTTAGCTAGTGACAAGCCTGAGTTATTAGCTGAGCATTTGTAATTAATATAACCAACAGTGTGTTTATTTTGGAGCTGCTGGGGGAACAGAATCTAGCATCTACAATCTTCAACTACACATGTACCTTCAGCTGCCAGTCTGGATTGCATCATATCGTGTTGGAAAACATCAATCAATGACACTTGCTTTAAACCACTGAGGATTTGGGATTGTTATTGTTGAACGAATAACATAGTATTTAGCCTATTTTCCCTCTCACATCTCAGGAGTTGTTATTATATATGATATGTACTTTTAAGTTTAGATGAATTCATATATTCTTGAGGCAAGAATTTAGTGAGCTAGGTAAAAAAAAGCCAAGATTGTTTCCCAATGTAGTAAGGGATTGAAAGATGGTCACTGTCTTTCACTGCTAAGATAGAGGTCATCCACATGCTCTGGATATCAGAACCTTCAGAGAACCAGAGGAATAGCCATAGAGAGAGTTAAGGAATTTCATATGAGGCAGGTCTTGAGCCATAAAGAAATATTGAACGCAAGTTTCATGTACTTTGTGCCATGTATTGTCAAAATACTGCTAAATCTCCTATGATAGAAAAGGTTCAATTGTAACAGCTTAGAGTAAAGAAAATATTTACTTGAGCATCTAAGAGCTAGACATAATATCAGTGCTTTACATTTGTCATATCATTAAATCCTGACACGATGCCCAAGAGATTGGTTTTGACTTGATTTCTTAGTCAAGATCATTGAGGCATCAGGGACATTGAATAGGACAGTCGCATGTCATAGAGTTGTAACTGCTGGGATTTGGGTCAGCACCCTGGCCTTCCTTTGTGAGGTTTGCTCTGTTTATGACCTTGCTGTCAATGATATTCACTCATGGTTTTCTCATTGTTATCATTTCCATTTCAAGATAATTTCCTGTAGATATGTGATTTGTCTATATTTGGACCATAGTGCAATCAGAAACAAGTGAATTTGGGTTTAATGCCCAAATATAGGCCATATCAAAAGCCACTATGATCTTATCATTGGTAAACTCATGTTTCAGCTCTAGGTTTGCCATTAAATCCTTGGGCCCAAGTTTTCAAAATAGTAGTGATAAATTATATTTTAAATTATATTTTACCTCTGACCTCTAAGAAACTGCCACAACACATAAGAAATCTTAGTCAAGCCGTCTACTCTTACCATGAGGCTTGCAGACCATGTCAACTCACCACTGGACACAAGAAGGCCCATTGTCTTGAATCAGTACACAGGGTTCATATGTTTAGGACAGTGAAAGTTGAGACAAGAAAACTCTTTTAACAGAAATTGAACAGAACTGAGATCTCTAACTTTATCTCCTATTCTGGTATTTTTTGATGAAAACTTCTACCATGAATATGAATAAACTTAGGGGTCCCTAGGAAAGGCCATGGTAAAGATGAAACTAACTTCTTACTTTTATCATCCTCTTGGATTAAAGGCAGAGACACAAAAGGAACCCTCATCTCCGATCACATGTTGGCCATACCATTTCAGAAGAATCCTTTCTGGCAAATCTTTGGCAGAGGAGCTTCACTGTTGGTAACTGCAGAGGGATTTCAAGCCTTAGGAACAGGTGGCTCAGCTGTGATTGGAAGAGAAACCCTGAAGCAATGGGGTCCAGAGTCTTCAGCTCTTTCAGAAGTTTGTCCCACAGGCTGGAGTTCAATGGGTATGACTTGAGTTCTTTTCTGACCAAAGTGAGTAGAAAATCATCTTCTTTTGTTGTTATACTTGGCCTTTGGACAATTTCCTAACACAACAAAGGGCAGAAATCTGAGGAGATCTCTGAAACAAGACAGGTAAATGCCTGAGGAGGAAGCAGAAATGACCAGGGCAGGTGCCACTGCTTACACCTGCAGGGCTGGCATAGGATAAGTTAAGATGGGAGTTTCATTACTTTATGGGACCTGGAATTTGTTCCTTAGCAAGGAAAAAAACAAATCATTGGAGAGGACACACATAGGCTCTTTAACACCCTTCACTGTCTTACACAATGAACATAAAACATATCGTCTTGAATAAATTTTAGAATAGTAAATTTTAAAGACTTGTCAAGTTGACAAGCTTAGTGTTGAGAATGAAACAAAGATGGAAGCTGAATCAAATTGGGTTAACTGGGACTGCAGGAAGCCTTCTGGGAAATTTGGAGTAAAGGAAGGTTTTCCAGTAAAGTCCCCAGGGAAGATTCCTGCAAACCTGCTGAGTATGGGGATTATGACATTTGTCAGTCCATCCTCAGACTTTCGAATTAGTAAATTAGTATTTCACATTAAAATATGAAGTTAATGAGTAATGCTCATCAGCCACACAGCTATAGAAAACAGGTCAAAATTTCAGTATACACACCTCAGTTTGGCCAGAGCTGTCCTTTGTTATATGTTCCAAGGACCAGTCTCTAGACTTTCTTCTGGGGAGACCGTGTATATAGGAAAGAGTCTGGTCTCCAGTTGGTACAGAGCTACAGTAGACTTTTGCATCTTGTGAAATCTTAAAGAAACAAAGACAAATGCAAGCAAATAACAGAAATGGGGAAGGAAAAACAAAACAAAGAGGGAAAATATTAGTGATCCAAGTGTATTCTTTCAGCAATTCCAGTTCTCAATGTACTTCAGCCCATGTAGTCATCCAGTTACTGAATTTCCAGTGAAGAATTTCAGCAATAGACAATTAACACATGTTGAGGAAAAATGTTAACAATTAGATACTGTCTTATGTGTGCAAGAAAGGTGTCTCTGACAGACACACACAAGAAAATAGGTAGAACATAAGGTGTTTGTAGGCAAAAAAATGTGTGTTCTTACCAGAAATAGGAGTCTTTGTAGGATGTTTTAATTAGCAAGTTCATGAAGGGTGGTAAAGGCAATTATGAAGTTTGCCAAGAATATATGAAACTAAAATGTTACTCTCCAAAAATATTATTAAAGTTCATAGCAAAACAACAATGGATTTGGGGGCAAGGTTAAAACATCATCTTATCATGCCATAGAATATGGTGAATTATTGTTGCTTTAAATTTTTTTCTGTATTTTATGATGGTTTATCAAGTTAGCTGACAGGGCCTTTAGTGACTAAGGAATATTGATCTGCCTAGGGGTAGGTAGATAATGGGGACAGAAAATGACTTGTTTGTAAAACTCTTTTCACTAACTAGCTGCTACCTTTATGTAACTGCTGTACTTTAAATTATTGACTAAGTAGCACTGGAATTCAGATGCTCAGAAGCAATCCTTCTGTCCCAGTTTGGTGGAAATTCTTCAACCTGACCAGTAACCTATTTGTGTTGTCCTGCCTTGATGATCCCAAGAAACTTCACAACTTTGGCATTGTCTTTTCCCTCCAGTGTCTTTTTGCCTTTTGATTGAGGTTCATATTTTCTCACATGCCCGAAATGCAACAGTGTACCAACCTTTCTCAAATGTAGTCAGGCAACCACCAGCTCACCAATAAGGACATGGAGATTTAATAATCATTATGAAAGCTTGGCCTTTAGCCTAGGCTTTTCTAAAACTTGCTTTTATAACTTCACGCAATACTTTTATTGGTCTACATTTTGCCATGTGGATTGGTTACCTCTCCTCTGTACCATGTGCCCAACTTGCTCCATGTTTTGCTGACATAATTCATGCATCTAGATGCCTTCACATCTTCTCTCTCCTGCCTGCTATTGCCCATCCATCTTTTTACTAAACCAGTCAGAAGGCACCTTGGCAAAAAAAAAAGACATCTTCACAGTTTACAAAAGATTATCTCACAACATTTCCCCCTTTTGGTCTAAATAAAAAAGAATAGTCTTAACTCTAACATAGTATAACTATATACAATAAGAAAAACTGTCTGGTGAGAATTACATTCACAATGTCCAGTCTGTCTGTATTTGGCAAATTTGGAGAAAGCCTGGACAGTCACTCAAGGTTCCTGTAACACTGGGGCACCCATCTTCGACATATAGGCCTAGAATATCTGACAGACTTTTCTGTGAAGCAGTAATTTTTGAAGGACTGTCTTACCTTGTCTTGGAAATGTTTGTCAGTGACCTACAACAATATTTATTTGTGCCTTGCTTGTTCAATTTGGACAGCATACTGTCAGCAGTCAAAACAAGAGCAATTTCTTTGCCCAGAATCTAACTTTGCCTCAAAGAAAGAAAATTCCATATGATGGTTCTTTAATGTCTACCCTCCATTTTTGAAGTAAATTGGTGCTTCCAGGAGCAGATGTGTCTCACTTTCATCAAAACCTTATGTCACTAAAACATTTTATGTGCCACATTCTGTCAGTCCAGAAGTGTTTGAAGACTATTTAAAACATATCTCTGTTTGACCTTCAAAACATGCCTAGCATGACTATGAGTTTGATTGCTATAGATGACTAACCATTAACTTAAATTTCTTAATTAACCTAAAAAATTTGTAATAATAACATTTAAGGACTAGAACTTGACATTGCATTTTCAAATGAGGAGCATAGATACAATACCTCAAACAAAAGAAGAAACATATATTCAACATGTTAGAACAAAATAACCTTCAATTTGTATCAATATAAAAAATCCATACCAATGTAAAATATTTGATATTAGTAGTTACTTTTTAGTTTAAAAATTGATTCAATAATCTACCCTTTTATCCTATCATTCCTATATCCTACTTTTTTCTTTTCAGAATCATATCCTTGAATCTAACCCCATTTGCTTAGATTTTTCCTGATTATAACCAGTAACAACTTTCAACCAACCCTCCTAAAGAAATAAGAAACATCTGTAATTCACCAAATGACCAAAAACCCTCTATCCTAACTATTAGGAATGTGGGCATCATGTTTTCTAGATTGCTTCTTGTTGTTTGGAGGTGACAGCACCTTTGGGAGATTATGAGAAAATTGGAATAATGGTCAAGTTTTGGGAGAGCTAGTTGTATTATTTTTCTTTAGTTTCTGTGCTATGGGAATGTGTAGTGTTTATATGAAGTCCTGAATGGAGTAGTCTGAAAGACTGGGTCATCTCAGCTAGCAGCTTTGAAATTGTGCTGGATGTACAATTTTGAGGAACCTGCACTAAAGGCATTTTAAGAGGTTGCATCACCTGGGATATTTGTCTTTTTGGTGTCTGGTCCTTTTTTTTTCTCCTGAAAACACACAAGCTTTGAAAGGTAACATATATATCTGCATTAACACAAGTATGGAAATGAGGTTAAATATGTTAAAAACGAATGCTTATTTTATGTTTGAGAAGGTAAAAGGCATCTGTCACTTTATAAGTCTGTTTGGACTACATAACCAAACTGTAATATAAATCTCTATGCATGCTATATGAAAGGGTGGCATGTAATAAGTCATAAAGACTCTATAACCAACATGATCTATGTCTCATCCATTCTAAAAATCGTTTCTATGTCTAGGGAACAACTCTTATGTCATCTGTCTTGTTTTTTCTTTTTCTTTTCCTTCAAGTCTATAGTCAAGATTTTTAGGAGTTCTCCCACAATCAAATATGATTTTTATTAATTTTGAATAAATCCATAACTTTTTGTTTCCTCTGGAAACAAAGGCAAAACCTCTCTCCCAAAGAAACAATATTTTTACTTCCATTCTGAAGTTAAGACATTTAAATTTTTTTCTCATTCTTTTTATTTGTGTCTTTCACATGCCTTCATATCCAACCTCTGTTCCTGTGATACTCCACAAAAAATATAATAAAATTTAAGAGAAGGAAGAAAAAAGAAAGAAAAATTCAATCTCATCATGGAAGCTACAGTGTGACACAGGGAGGAACATAGTAAACACTTTTACCCATGATCTTTACTTGGAAGTGTTCATTGCAGAGAGTCATTGGTATGGTTTGAGGCCTCTGTTTCTGCTACACTAGTAATTCTTGGCCCTCACTGGAATTCCTCTTGGTTATTCTGCTATTGCTTTGTGTTGTGGAAATCCTGAGCTTTGGCTCTGCAGGAACTGGTTCCTTCACTCTATTCCAGAAGATCACAAGTGAGGTGGTTGCTGGGGTGGGCCAACACATTACTCTGGTTCTGGGCCTGGATAGTTGTAATGTTGGTCATCCTGCCAGCTCTCCCTTGTCTTCACCTCCAGGCTGAGATCTCATTCATTGTCCTGGTGAGTTCACCCCTTGCAGTGATGAGCAAGGATGTGTATAGGTTGGTTTAATTTAGTAGGTTATTTTCTACAATCACATGTCTCTCAGCAACATTTGTCCTTTTCTCATTTGCATTCAAAAATTTAAAGTTAGCAAAACAGCATACAGGATATATGTGTTCTGTGTATTTCCCATCCTAACGGTATCTATCTATCTATCTATCTATCTATCTATCTATCTATCTATCTATCTCTACTCTCTCTTTAAAGACTTTATTTTATTCTTTTTAAACTATTTATTTTTATGACTGTCTATACCAATTTTCTTTGTTTTTCTTTAGCATCTAAGCACATTTGTAAACATATTTTATTTGTTCATCTGTTCATAGGTTTTCTTGGCCTGGACCTGGCTCTTTTTTGTTTTCTTTTTTCTGTCCATCTGCAGTGTTTTTTGGATCACATGAGTCAAACTTTAAACTGTCATACCAGCCACATCACAACTCCACTTAGCACATGTCATTGGTGGCTGGCTCCACTTCACCCCTGGTGGGTGCAAGCCAAGCCTCATGCGCATGGGCCCTGGTCTGGAGCCTTGTCCATCTGTTCCAGCTCTGGAAAGTTTCTGGGACCATGCTGTTTACACCTAGTCTCCTGTACCAGTAGTGTGCAGGCTGCTCAAGGGTTCAGTTGTATTAAAGGGGCCATGCCTCAGTGTGCTACAAGGACTGTGCCTGCTTGAGAGTTCAAGGTTACCCAGAAGCTGTTTCTGACTTCATGTTCAGAATTTTTTACTTTTCCAGGTCCTATGTGGATTTACATGCCAGAAATTGCATGCCCAATATAGCAAGCTTTCTCAAAAGTAGATGGACTTTCCTTTGTCAAACCACTAGCTCCCCAATAATGACATGGAGACTTACTATTAATTTTGAAAGTTTAGCCTTGCTTAGTCTTTTCCACAGCTAGCTCTTATAACTTAATTAACCTTTTATTAATCTGTATTTTGCCACTTGTCTGGTTACTTTTCCTCTCTACCATATTGCTGCATCTTGTTGGCATAACCAAAGCACCTAGATTCCTTTTCTTCTTCCTCTCTTTCCAGAGAAATGCTGCCTATCCTTTCCTGCCTAGCTATTTGTCATTCATCTCTTTATTAAACCAAACAGAAGGTGCCTTGGCAAAGTGTACAAAAAGATTGTTCCTCAAGAGGACAACATGGCTTCTTTCTTTTAGAAAAATCTACTATTCATTCCAATTTTTGTTACATTTATCCTTTTATAGACTTGATTTAAACTAAATCTTGGTAAAAAAAAAAACCAGACACTTGATTAGTTTTAGTGGCCAGAAATAAGAGATAGTATCTATCAAAGGGATTGTGGCAACTTACTGTTTTCAGTCAACTG